TTTAGGTGCAATCTCTGGAACATAAACCTCATGTAAATTGCAGGTGTGTGTATATAACAAAAGTTTCAATGTGATTTGCAGAGTAATTGCTATATGGAGAAAATGGTTGCCAACTTTTGATTTGAAAAAAATTACTCCTCCTCCAGGCAGAACCAAAGGGCTGCACTTAGGATGGTGGACTGGGTGGGGCAGGGGCTTTGCCCTGACCCATCAGGATCTTCCTGGGTCAACAGCAGAGTGGCAAAACCTGGAGTTTTCTAGCTCTTCCAACTGCAGTGATGGTGTGGTGGGCCAATAAAATCCTGTCCTACGGGAATGGATAATGTGATAATAGCTTTCTAAAGCATATTTTATAATAAAGGAATTGCCACCTAAATGCAAACTATGAGCACAAGAAGTAAAATATGTTAAGTGGAGGACTTACTAAAAAACTAATAATGGAGAACTGACCATGGGAATGCATTATTTCCTTCTAACTGGCCACTATGTGAAAACAAGGGTAATTTTCCAATTTGTACATTGGTTTTTGAAGACTCTCTCTAAATGGTATGGTATTGCCCTTTCAAATTGCAATTGAAAAGCATTAAACACCTATCCATCCATCCGTTCATTCATTCATTCATTCATTTATTTATTTAACTGAGGATGGATGGTGTTGGGTGGGGAATTTAGCCAATGTATTTCAATGAAGGGCAACACCTTTCTGTTTAGCCATGTGGAGACTATAGCAAAGAACTACTGTGAGGGCAGCCATGCAGTTTTGGGTATTATTAATTTAATGACCATGTGGGTATCCAGTTCATTCCTATTCATTTAAAGCACATAGCTTTCCCCAGAGAACCATGTGAACTGTAGTTTGTTAAGAGTGCTTGGAATTGTAGCTCTGTGAGGAGGAAACTACAGCTTCCAGGATTTTGGGGGGAAGCTATATGCTTTAAATGTATGGTGTGGATGTAATGTCATTCCTTACTTCACACTTACTACTACTACTACTACTACTACTAATTGTCTCAGCCACTCTGGGTGGCTTCCAACACATAATCAACACTATTTGAATTAATTAAATACATGTTTGGAAGTGTAAGACTTATGTCTGACTTTGTTTTTCTTACCAAAAAAGGATGGCATAGCTTAGCACTGAAAGATGTAACTCTGAATGGTATCACAAATGAAATGAGAGAAAAAAAGTGGAACACTGACTTCAAGTAAACTGGTATAAAAGAAAAGACTTTTAAACAGCATGGAAAATCTAAAGGCTTAAATGTCCCTTTAAAATATAATGAAAAATAATTAGGAATCTAATTAGTAGCTTAAACTGAATGAAATCGGTAGAACCGTCATGAGGGGATTGAGTCCTTTTAGGGATTGTACTCATGTATTTGGAGCACAATGCCCCTTTATTTGAAAAGGAAAGCAGTTATCGTAATCAAGCCATGATGCAAAATGGTGACGTACGGATGGGAAGCCTGATTATGGAGTCTGAAAAAAGTGAGGTAGAAACCTGGAATAACACAGAGAAGCCAGAGGTATACTGGGAAGACCAGAGAACAAATAAAGGAGAAGAAATGAACATGGATAAAAGATGCCCTCTGTCCCTTGGTAACAAATGTTTGGATTGAGTTAGTCTGCAAAACATTTTGTGTTTGTTTTATACAGAGCTATGCACATTAATTTTTTTTATTGTACTCCCTTTTCAAATTCATTGCTAAGAGGTGTGATGAAAATCCCCAGTGGTTTATGGGGTGAGGTAGGAGGTGTTATTGAGGAAAAGCCCAGTTCCCCCATAGGCTGAGCTCTGTTTTATACTGTACACTAGCAACTGTACAGCGAGAGTGTATTCCTAGAGAATGTGCTTGGTTCCTCCTCTTTGAAGTAAATCTTAAGAGTTTCTTGGTAATAAAACAAACAGTGTGTTCCTAGCACATTGTCAGATAGCCAAAGAACAAAGTGCTACAAATAAAAAACATAAGTATATGCTTGAAACACACTCCTTCAGTACTGAGGGAAGGGAAATGGCAAGTATCTCCAAGAAGCTTTTCTTCTCATATTCTGTGGCATCTTTTTTCCTTGACTTTGTATTTAGTAACAAGTTCCTGCTGAATAAATCAGCCCGTTCTAGAGCAGGAACTCTATACACACACTGAAGAGCACACGCAATGAAGAGCACGCAATGAAGAGCAATTATGCCGCAGAACGAGCAAAGTTGTACAAAATGGCTCAATATATTTATTCCAAGCCATGGTGGGAAGACATGTAATGCAGCAATTTTGCTGAAGCTGATCAAGTCTGGAGCTGGTCAATGATTGGCTATGATATAGCTTCAGAGCTCCATGTATGTCTCCTTCAGTTCCACTGTAGATGGGATATAACTGTATAAATGTAATGCATTTTTTGTAAAATCTGGAATGTACTGCAGACTCTCCTGTTCTCTTACACCCATATTCCTCTCTACCTTTCTTGGTTTTCTGACATTGGATAAACTATAGTTAGTGCTACTGGGATTGTCTCCAAACAATAGATTACAAACCTGTTTCAACGAACCTATTTGGAGGCAGTCTAGTTAGTTTGATCAGTTTGCCTGATTTGGATGTCATGGCAAATTATGGTCAAACCATGAAAAGAACAGGAGAATCAGCAGGCAAAAGCAGAGGAGAGGAATGAGACATGATATTTTGTGATGTGCTCCCAATCATTGTTCAGATGATTATCAGTGTGACATCTTAAAAGAGACAGTACTATTAGCATACGTAAGCTAGCTGTCCCATAAAACCATTTTATACAGGCAAACCATGATATAAACCAAGCCCACGTCACATCTGAATATTGTTTTCTATGCTCATTTCTCTCTCCCCCCCCCCAACATTTATGGCTCTTTGCTTCTCATGTTCACAGCTTACCAGCTTACCAGATGAATCCTTGATTTGGTCCAGTTTCTCATTACGGTAATTCGTAATATTTATAGACCATCTTTCAACAAAAGTACTCTCAAAGCAGTTAACACAGAACAACTAGATACTGGGCTAAGCACACAGCATTAATAAAGCATGGTTGCTTATGATGGGAAGTCCCATTGCAATTTGCCATGGTCCTACAGCTCATTCATATCTTTCTCAGCATACTGAGAGTCAAAGTGTAAAAACAGACGAGAGAAGAGAAGCAGCAACAAGGACCAAATCAGGGAGGCAATAAGTTTCTCCAAGACCATGTTTCTTGAGATACTGGAGTCTAATCCTGGGAAAGATCTAGCAATCCCACAGGAGAGATCACTTTCATATTGTTTAATGACAGTGATGGTAACCTCTGACCTTGATGAAAGACAGTGCTTCTGACCTTCCGTTTGTTAAATAATACCAGCCACTTACTTTCTGATTTTTATCAGTGTTTGGTAATTGGGGGTCAGGACAAAGCCAGCAGAGAACACTTACCACCAAGCTTTATTGAACGTAGAAGAATTTGTATTAAGCAACAGATTTTGTTGTTTTTTGAAAAAAGAAAGCTCAGCCACGATGGGTGGGAAGTGGAGACTGAGTAGCTTGTAAAATCAGTTATGGAATAATGAGCTTTCAACTCTGACATCTGCTTTGAATCCGGTTTGTGCTCAACAGTGGAAAATTCATTAACACCTGAGATTGATTAGTTGACCTTGCTCATATAATCTGGGGTCCTAGGCCAGTTCAAACTGGATAGGTGTTCATGCAATAAAATTTACAGTCACCATTTATTCTAACTGGCACCCTCAGAGGCTGACACACCAAAGGTTCTGTGGCAAGACAGAGGGCGTAGGAAAGCAACACATGGCTGAGTTTTACAAAGCCATTTCCTGGGGTGAGTCTCTTGGATAAACTTCAACATGAACCCTGCACTGCTCATGCCTCTCTTTGTAGCTTCATTTCACTGGCCCTCGAGATCCCTTCCAGCTCTGTGTTTCTCTGTGTGCTTCTGTAGAATTCAGCTACATGGAAATAAAGGTCTGCAAGCCTTTTCAATGAAATCAGAATAGTAAAGCTAATAAATAAAAATACTAATAAATAATCTTTTTTTTAAAATAAAGGAAGTCTGGTCCGACTGCATTGGCTTTCAACCAGTTTCTGGGACCAATTCAAGGTACTGGATTTGACCGATAAAACATTAAAACAGCCCAGGACCACAACCCCTCAAGCACCACCTCTCCCCATATGAACCAACTCGGACCCTCTGCTCATCATGTGAGGCCCTTCTTCCTGTGCCCTCACCGCAAGAGGTTTGGAGGGTGGCAACATTAGAATGGGCCTTTTTTGCAGTAGCTCCCTACTTGTAGAATGCTTTCCCTAAGGAGACTTGCCTGGTGTCATCATTATATATCTTTAGACACTAGGCAAAAGCTTTCCTCTATAACCAGGTCTTTAACTATCTGTGGTCTTTTAGAAGTAGGTGAGTTGTTTTTAATGTATTTCTCTTTCTTCTTGGGTTTGTCTGTTGGTAGGTTTGTTGGTTGTAAGTTGCTTTGGGTTGCCTTAGGCAAGATAAAGCAACTAATTTAATAAATACAGTGGTAACTCGGGTTACAGACACTTCAGGTTACAGACTCCGCTAACCCAAAAATAGTACCTCGGGTTAAGAACTTTGCTTCAGGATGAGAACAGAAATCGCACAGCGGCGGCAGGAGGCCCCATTAGCTAAAGTGGTGTCTCAGGTTAAGAACAGTTTCAGGTTAAGAACGGACCTCCAGAATGAATTAAGTTCTTAACCTGAGGTACCACTGTAATAAATAAAATAAAATAATAATTAGGTAAGCAACTTCTGTAGTGTGGTGTAGTGGTTAAAGTGTCAGACTAAGATTTGGGATACTAGGGCTCACTTGACCATGAAGCTCACTTGGTGACCATGGGTGAGCCACTGACTCTCAACCTAACCTCAAAAGGTTGTTGTGAGGATTATATGAGGAGGGAGAGAACCATGTATGCCACCTTGAGCTAATTGGAGAAAAGGTAGGATATGAATAAAACAAATAAATAACCATGTACATTTTAGACAATGTGCATTTAGCTATTAAGTTACACATATTTTGCACAGCCATACAAAACAGAGTTCTGTCATATCATCATTTTTTCAAATACAATATTTTGGTTTGTTTGTACGGAATAAGTGATTTGTCGGTTTTCCAAAAAGGGGGAGGGGAATCAATTCCTGATCTATTAGTACCCCTCCATGGAAAACCTCGTACACTTCCTATGTTCCCCAAAGTGAAGAATATTTGTTTATTCACCACTGCAACCCTTGCCAGTGAAAAAGACAGAATCCAAATGCATCATATTTGTTCAGAAGTTCCATGCAGGGCTTCCTCTGGAGCAAGTGTGCATGGGACGGTGCTTCTTCACCCGTTATTATTCTGGGTGCTCTAGATATTGTCGTTGCTTTTTAACCAGGCAGCAATTCTTCAAGCAAAGCTTTCTGGCATGCCGGCGTCGCCGCGGCGAGATCGGAAAAGCTGCGCCTGTTGAACTTTTGTCCGCCGCGCTACTGTTTAAAGGGGAGGACGCCAAGTCGAAGCGGGGACGCGTAGCAACAGCTTCAGCTTTCACTGCAGGCCCCGTTTCTAGGGCATTGGGCTTGCTGACTATGAAAGGTTTTTGGCCGGCTGCCGGGGGGGCGGGGCGGGGCAAGATGAGAAGCTGCCTTCGAACGCCGAGAGGGGGCCGAGGCCGACCTCTGACCTCACGTCCAGCGCGGCGCCTTGGAGACGGTTGCCCGGCAACGGGACGCAAGCGTCGGGGCCTGCGCTCTCTGGTCCCCACCGCCACCCCCAAGCCCGGCGGCCATGGATGCTGAGACGCTGCCCTACGCGCTGGACCTGGTGGCGGGCAGCGGCGTGTGCCTGAGCCCGGAGAAGCGAGCGGCCCTGCGGAACTCGCTGCTGCTGGTGCGCCGGGACTACCGCTTCGAGCAAGTTCGCCTGTGGGGCCGCATCCAGGGCACCCGAGGAGCCTACTACATCGCCGAGGGCGTGGGGCCCGACAGGGCGGGGGCCAGAAGCCGCCTCTACAGGTGGGCAGCTGGGCTCGCAGAAGATGGACGGCGGTGAAATAGGGCAGGTGAAATAGCGGGGAGGGGGGGGAGACATGGCTCCAGCAGGTTGGCCGTCCCTGCCTCCCCTTTACTCCTGTGCCTTTAATAGCTGCTTCCCAGGTAGAGGTTTGCACAGGTGCGCTGTTTCCTGAGAAGGGTTGCGAGATGCCCCCAAAGTGTCAGCTGTCAGACTTCTCAGCAGGTCAGGCTTTTCCCAGCAGCGCAGCACCACGCTAGAAACCCTAATCTCACAGTCATTGGTTCAAGCCCCACATTGGGTGAAAGATTGCAAGAGGTTGAACTAGATGATCCTCGTGGTCCAACTCTACAATTCTGTGATTCTATTGGTGAGCCTTAGTTGATCACAGCTACTTTTTAAAATCCAGTCAAAACATTAAGTTCAAGGCAATGGAAGAGAATTCAGGTCTTGAGGGGACAGTAATGTCTAGAAGCAACATCCTCCTGATGCCTTATGAAAAAATGTGTGTGAGAGAGGGAGTGAGGTTAGTTTTAAATGGCAACATAGGCAGAGAGGGCAAGTTAAACTCTAAATGAAAGTTAACACTTGTGGAGCACTTCTGAGTGTTCAGAGCACTTTGCAGGCATTATCTATTATCTCCATATTGCAGACAGGGCGACTGAGGCTGAAAGAGTGACTTGCCTAAGGCCATCTAGTGAATTAATGGCATAGGCAAGAGGTGACCCATGAACTTCACAATGCAGTCCCTTAACAGTACATTCCTATTTAGAAACTAGTCTCATTGAGTTCAGTGTGTCATACTTCCAGGTACGTTTGTACTGGATTGTAGTCTTAGTCACTATTTAAAACCATTTTCTTACTGGCAGTGGCCACTTTGGGGCATGGAGCCACAACACGAGGAAGCTGTTGTTATTGTTTATTTTAAAAAAGTTGTTTTGCAAGGCAAGGGGCATATTCAGCGAGAGGTTCATCTTTCGTCTTTTGCATGTCCCTGCTTTATATAGCACCCTAGCTTGGTAGGAATTCTGACCTGATCCTTTATGAGTTTGCTACTATCTGTTTTAGTTTTGCCTTCAGATTTAGAAGCCATTCTGCCTTTCCTCTTACCTATCTCAAGTGACTTCCCCACTCCTCCTTCACACATTGTGGTGTCATGAGGGGGCAGTTGGTTTTTATCTCTGCTTGCCACCTGTTCTCTTGCTTGTTTCTGTGAGATCTTTCAGTAGACCTCCAAATGTCTGAAAACATGAGTTTTTTTGCCAATAAAAATATGCTTTACCCTTTTATTATGTATGTGTGAATGACAGCTTGAATTGTGTGGAATGGAGCCTTCTGCCACCTCCTAATGAGGAATTTACTGCACTGACTTCAGTGCTAAAGGGACGTTTCCAAGGGGACCCATCCTATGAATATGAACACTATGAGAAGAAAGAAGAAGGTGAGAGACCATATGAAGAGGAAGCAACAGTGAGTACATTGCAGCACCCCTGGGATCCCGTCACCTAATGCTTACAATATACTTTTTCACAATTTGCACTTGTGCTTTTTTGAAGTAAAACATTTTTCCTAGTTTTCTAGGAATGCAGAGCAATATGATATAATTATGACATAGGGCTACTAACATTTTTGTGTTGCTTCATATTTTTTTTTACTAGTGTAGGAATTTATTATTTGGAATTTTTTAAAATTAGGTAACAGAGATTTGAACTGGAATTTCTTACAAACCTTTCTTATCCATTTAACATATCTGGTCCTTGGAGCTCACTGGGTTTGGTGCAGGCAAAATATTAAGTTAAAAGGCTTAGCAGAAGCTTTTTATAAACACACACACAAACATACCTGCACTCAGTTTCATACAGATATCACACAGGCATATAAAGAAAATATACAAAAGAGCTAATTCCTATGTTCCAAGGTTGGAATGGAAAGGTAGTAGAAGTTAGAGGTAGCAGTGGTGACCTTCTATCCTTTATTCACCCCAGCAATTCAGCTACATATTCACTAGAGTTTGTCAAGAGATTCATGCCAAGCTTCTTCTCCCTTTTTCGCTTTTTATACAGTTTTTGTAAAACATTGAGATTCTATAAAAAGTAATGTACCCCACTCCACTACCCTGCTAGTAATCTAGCCTTCCCTTTCCCTCCACATTTGGCTTTGGCCTACACCCCAGATGTATTCCATATGTATGAGTTGAATATTCCAGCAAGTCTCTATATACTTATTTCCCACTTCTCTCTGTGTGTGTCTCATGTGGAACACATACATACATGTGCCGAGTACCTTATCAGTTGAACCCTAATCTCACTTTCCTGTACTCCTTACAGCTGGTCCCTCTTTTCCTAATCTTGCTGTAACCTAACTGCAGGCTGTGGTTCCTGTTTTGATGCAGCTGACTTATTGTGTGTGTGTTAAAACAGCATCTGTCTTAAGCCCCAATGCCATGTAATGAAAATAAATGTTTTGGCATTCTTTTCTCCTATGACAGATGAAGGCAATATATATTTTAAGTTTGTAGGTGCATGATTCTGTTCCAGTTCTCATTCTAGTATGTAAAACTAAGGTGGCTTTTCTTAATGTTTGCTTTTTTCTAAAGAACTTGATCAAGGAAGAAGTCCGTCTTGTATCTGCAATAGATCAGATAGATAAAGCAGTGGGTATTGTTCCACGGGGTGCCTATATAAAGTCACCACTGGGACCTGTGCATGAAAACAGAAACTTTGAAGGTAAGTCCGTGTAAGTCATAACTGCGTCTTTGAACACAAAAGTAGTCACAAACAGTTATTTCTTCCATGTTTGACTTGGTGGCAAGGGTCTCTGCTGCTACAGTGAGCCGAAGGGAAATACGGGGATACACACATGGGCATAAATTAAAACAATAGAAATACTTAACTAACTGACCAATCACTTTGGTTCTGCCCTCCCTAACCAAGTCCTGCCTCCGCCCCCAAATCCTGGCTACGCCCATGGATGCACAACCAGAACTATTAATTGTTTCTTCTTGGGGCAACAACAGCACTAAAGTAGGAAAAACCATATTTCAGTTCATTTTTTGCACTCATGCTCTTGAGTCTTGCTAGTCATGTGAGGAAATGTTACTATGCATGACAGTGTAAAGCATCCTGTCCCTCATGTGGAGGACCTTAATCATAGTAGATGTATGACAAGCCTTGCATATATGACAACATAGGGCTATCTGGAATGACTTTGCTTTTGGAGATACCTATCTCATGATCCTGTAGTGCTTTTGGTTATGGTGCTGGTTTGAAGATTGCTTCCTTTGATTTCAGGGCTCAGTTTAGATTGCAGCAGCTACCAATATATTTCCCTTGGTTGAAGTGGGCTGCATAAAAGTAACTGATTTTCCATGGTACTGCAAGACTACCTATTTCTAGAGGTCTCTGTCTACTTCTGTGGGTTCATTTAGTGTCATCAGCACATAGATGCTTCATAAGTCTATTAGATAGTGAGCTTGTAGTAAATTGAAAGATGGCAAAGTTCTTATTAACCCAACAGGTCTGTCTTTGGCGGAGGCTAAAAAATTAAGCTCCTATTTCCATTTCACTGAGCCTGTAAATTTGAAGAACAAAACTCTCCTGGAGAAAGCTGACCTGGACCCTGCCATTGACTTCCTGGATTCACTTGAGCATGATATTCCTAAAGGTAGGGAAGATGTGACATTCCAAACGCAAAATGAAAATAGTGTTGTGAAGTTTTCATATCCACTTAAGAAGTACTATCTGCTTTTTCACTGTGTAATAATAACAATAAGCATTTATATGGAGCTTTTTAGTGCTTAGAGAACTCTTGTTTCAACCCACTGCAGGTTTGTGGGCCTACAATTCCCATATTGTAGACTGCAGGAAGGACTCTGAGCATGATGGCAATTTACCGAAGGCCATGTAGCTTTTCCAAGACTAAGCTGAGCTCACAGTTTCCACTCTTGTTGGTGTGTGTGCATAAAAAAAAGATGTATGGCCTTCCTTTCAATACAATAATTTTCAAAGTGGAGAACAATCTAAATACAGCAATAAAGCACACACACACAAAAGCATGAACCCCATAAGCAGAGCTGCTAAACCCAAATAAAATCAGATTAGGCACACCAAATAGCAAAGGCTGCCCCAAAACTAACATGCTACATTATTTCTCATAACAAAACATGATACATATAATTTGTGAATGGTCTGGTTCTTCAGATATACCAACCTTTCCAGTGGCAGGATAAAACACATAAAAACAAAATGAGCTGTTGCATCCTTTCACTGGGTAGCTTTGTCTGTGTCTTGTGTCAGCACCCTGTTCTGCTTGAACTTTCTGTGTTTTCTCTTCATTAAAAGGGGCTTGCAGCAGCCAGTGTCCTGGTGGGCAAGATAAGGCTACTTAGAGATAGGAACATTTTTATGTGGTTTGAAGTATTTTGCAAGACCATTTCCACCCAATATTGCCTCTTATCTAAATGGGGTCTTGTTAACTCTAACCTTGTATCCTGGGCAGTCTAAGTTCAAACTTTTCTTTGATAAATCTCTTACCTTGGCAGGAGAAAATGTAACAGTTTAGGAAATGGAGGAATACACTCATTATTAAATGTGAATATCTTAGCCCCTAAGCGCAATGAAAACAATTAATGTAGCTCTTATTGTTTTCTAATTTATGCTGTTTTACAGCTCCCTCCTTAAAATACCTTTTGCTTCCAAATAAACATAACAGAACTACCAGAACTGAATACAGATTGCTCTTTTGTACAAATATGATCCTTTATTATCTGCAAATTGAACATGTCAGCCCTTCTGAAGTTTCCTAACCCCTCATCAACACAAACATTATTACCTCTCCCACTTTCACACATTTCTTTTGCATCCTATATGCTGTTCTGGAGTTCTCACCCTCTTAATCTCTTCTCCAGAGCCCATTCCACACTGCTCAGTATGTTGAATTAAACTATTCCATGTTGTGTATCCAATGCATCTCCTTCACCTCTAGCTACTTTTAGTGCCTCATTAAATACTTCCCACAGAGTTTGTGTAGAAAAGGGTGCTTAAGAGGCTGTGGTGCTCAGGCTAGAATTTGGTTTGTAGCTTAGGACCTTTTTTATCATGAATTTTTATATCTTTCACATAAAAATCTTTGCTGATTTTGTTACTGTAGTTAGGGCTAACGGTGTTTGTGCTCATCCATTATTTCAAACAAGAAGTCAAAAGGGAACAACAAAAATTACATGAGTTAGTTTTTGTATTTAATGCCCCCCTACCTTTATGGTCAGTATTAGTGAACTTCTCACAGCCAGTTTGCTTTTCAAAGTCATTAATCTGTTACCTTTACTTCATGAGCAGAGTAGCATGTGGCATGGCTCCTTCCTATCAGTAGAGTGGCCATTTGTCCTACTTTACAGAGTGTAGTCCTCTGTTTGTAGGGCTGTAAAGTACAAGTCCTGAATAAAGATAAAGAGCTTTAAGAGGAGACAGCAGGGTCTTTGAAGTTGCTCATCTGCATTCAGTAGACTGAGCATGCAGACAGGTTACCTGGTCACAGTCTTGCTCTCTGGTGAGAGGTCTTGTATTTCTGTTTCTAAATCATACTTCTAAATTGCTATATGCAAATCTATGGTGCCACCTTTATTTTGGCAATGCATAAGTGGCTATTGTACTTCTCTAACTCTGTGGTTCCATGACATGGGAAACCAACATGGAAGCTGCAAAGTAAGGGGTTCTACACTCAATATTTTATATAAATAGCAATGTTTGAGAAGGGTGAATGAGCTTCCCATTCCAGTGCTAGAAAGTAGCAATAGCACTTGAAGCAGCTTGGCTTGTCAGTAAATGCTATAAATTTGATATGGCTTCCAAGGGGTTCCTATCAAAAAATGTTTGGGAATTGCTGAATTTGATGAAGCATTGTACAGAATTTGAGAATGGGAAGCTGGAGTGAGAGAGGGAGAATATTTGTGCTGTGATCTGCATGACTGCATTCAGAACAGCAGTTAATTCATCCTGCTAAATACAGAGTTTTATAAATTTGTAACACAAGGTGGCATCCAAATACAGAAATGTCTAAATAAATTCCACATTAATGCATGAAAATATCCCCCCAATATCACAATGCCAGTGTAATTACAAAAAATTCTGCTCATGCTTACTCTACAGAAGTGACAGGAAAGTATAGGTTTGACATTAGATTAGAAGCAGCTGCAAAAGAGAGGACTTTGAAGCAAGTGACAATGGGATAGTTACTCATATGTCTGTGAAAATGTGTAAGGCATGCCTCACAATACAGTGGTACCTCCGGAGCCCTGTTCGCATCCAGAAGCGAATGCAACCTGCGTCTGCGCGTGTGCGGGTCATGATTCGCCGCTTCCGCGCATGCGCATGCCATCATTATGACCGTCTGTGCATGCACGAGCGCTGAAACCCGGAAGTAACACGCTCCGTTACTTCCGGGTCGCCGCATTGCGCAACCCAAAAATACTTATCCTGAAGCTACTTCAACCCGAGGTATTACTGTAGAGCTATGAACTCTGAAATACTAGAAGAGGTTTTAACAAACAGGCTTGCTATAAATTTTATTATTTTTCAGTTACAGCAGATCACTTCATCTGAGCCTAAGCAGTTGCTCTAGTTTTGTGTGGTATACCGTATTTTCTGCTCCATAAGACACACTTTTTTCCTCCTAAAAAGTGAGGGGAAATATCTGTGCATCTTATGGAGCGAATGTGTGGTCCCTGGAGCCGAATCGCCCAAGTGTGGCTCGCGCCATTGCCCTGCCCTCCCAGGTTGCCAGCAGCCTCCCCTTTCCCCTGAAGTCCCGGGAAAGTTTGGGAGTGGCGGGCAGGCTGTGCACCGCTGCCTCACACTCCTGGGCCGCTCTCTTTGTCCGATTCTAGAACAGAGATCTGATTTTAATCTTGAGCTCTCAATCTTGCATTTATAGAAATTATGTTGAGTTGTGTGATTCTTGAATTTTCCCCTAATTGGCCCTCACACATTTATGGGTATTTAAGATGAACAGAAATATAGCTCATATTATGACTATAATATACCACAGCTACGAAATGTATATCACGAGCCAGAGCCCCAACTTCTTCCAACTCTCTCCCCAAAATAACTGACGATGGTGCTCATTGTGTCTGATTACCAGGAGTTACTATTAGGTCTTATTATACTATATTATACTTCCCTCACTGCTTCTGAGAACTATCTGTATCAGAACTATCCAACACTGGTTTCCTTTGCAGGGTTGAACTTTATCGGTACAGCATTTAATGGGGCTTTAGTATTGGGCGATGGGGCCTCTTTGTGCAAGTGCTTGGAGAAAATCCTCCAGGTTTTATGTTAGTGCTTTAATAGATGCAAAAGTCCCAGGTGCTGGGAGGATTGAAGCTAAGAGACATGAACCTGTTTTATATCCAGGCATTAGCACAACTAATTTATTCCCTTTCACAGTCCCCCGCTCCCCCTGAAGTGATTAATCCCCTATCAAGCTCTGTCTCCAGCTATTCAAAAAGCCTGAGTCTGTAGGGTGTTTTTTTTTTAACAGCCCCTCGCCAGCAAGCAGACTGTAAGGCAGCCTGTTATCGGTGTGTGGTGGAGGTGGTTTGAAGACAAATGGCTGCCTATCTCCCAAGTGGCCTTGCAAAACCCAACAAAGTGCTATGCTGTGCTGGCCACCTACTTTCCCCCAGCCTCCTCTCCCTGCTAACGTTTCACAGATGTGACCTGAGCCCTCCTCTTTCATAGCTTAACACTAAGCAGCACTTCCACAGCCTTGTGAAAACTCTGAGCCCGAGAGCACTTTACCTTGCAGCCTGCCAAGAGCCACATGGGGACAAGACCTTTCAAGCTGCTTTTCTGAAATCCAAACTAAGAAGTTTATAATGGATGAGGGGGAAGTAATGGTGTCAGAGAGAAAATGATGTTACCAAGAAGGCACAGAGAGTGGGGTGAGTCTGGTGGTGCTTCTCTAGTCTGTTCTTCAGTGGGGAAGGGCAGCTTTGAGAACTTGTGGGTTCAAAAGATAACAGCAGTACAGCCTTTGGAGCTTATGCAACATGGCAGAACAGGCACAGGCAACATTTGGCCCCCCAGATGTTTTGGTCTACAACTCCCATGATCCCTAGCTAACAGGACCAGTGGTCAGAGGTCATGGGAATTGTAGTCCAAAATTGTAGTCCGAAGGTTGCCCGTGGTAGAACAATCCAGGAAGCAGCCATGCAGTGAAATGAGTTGCTGAAGTATACGCTTAACCTTCTGGAGGATAAATGACTCCCCAGACTGTGTGGATAAGTTGATCTGGTCAAATGGCCAAGTTAGCAGGTAATTTGCTTGTGCGTTAATACTATTTTAGCATTGGGCTGCTGTACCAGTCACCTTCCAGTAGGAGACACTGTGGGGTCAGCCTCAGTAGGAAGAACAGAAACCCTAATCAAGTAATATGAGAAAAGTTTGGACTCTTTAGTGAAGTGAAGACAGAGAAACCAGACTGTGTGTGGTATATGCTGACCTCTTGAACTGTGGATATGGAGAGGAGACTATCAGCCCTGCTAGAGTTCGCACAACTTTCAGGAGGCTATATTGCTTTCTCTTAGTACCAGCATCTTATGTGTGTTCAGCTCAGGGTCTCCCATGATTTTCCCTATCAAAGGCCACACACTAGGCCTGTTCGTGCCAAGAATGTGTGTCTGTATTGACACTTTTGGAGTCTGATGTTGCTACTCCTACACTGATCATAGGGTGTTCCCTCAAGGTGTGACCTTTTCTTTGGAACTGATCCTTATGAGACAATTGTAACATGAACAAGAGCCAGTTAGAATTGCTGCTTTTGACTTTCTGACCACCCACAATTTGCCCAAATTATTGGAACTATGCCTATATCTCTTGAGCTTTGCTTCTGTATGTAATAAACTGTCATACTGGGTTTTTGGATTCAAATTGTCAAGTACTTCAGGGGTCTGGTTTATCAAGAAATCTTGGCTACTCTTCGTGAAGGAGACTGTTCATTGTTTCTGAGGTGGTTTTACCGTCCCAGAGCAAACAAGGACAGGGGAGCCAAGAGTTTGTCGTGTCTTCTAGGGCATGTAATTATAGGCTTTTAATTTTACTTTTCGAAAGGGAGAAAAATATTTTCTCCCTTCAATATGTGACTTAGTTCCTGCTTCATATCTTTTCTTTCAGTTTTGTTATAGGGCTCTTGATTCTGCGTTAATAGCTGCTGAAGCCTTGAGACAGGACCAGGTTATATTTAATACATAAATCAGATATGGTCTAAATCTTGTTCTAGGGACTGATGAGCCTTAATGAAAGTAAAACCCTACCGCAAGAGGCCATTTTTAGGAAACCAGAAGAAAATTCAGTATAGTCAGACTTTGTAAAGCTCTATCTGCAACTATCTGGTGGAGGTTGCTTTGGGAAAGGAGACATATCCCAGCTTCCCTTTGTAAATGAGGGGAGGAAAGGTAAATGTATAGGTCTTTATGAATGAACTGTATGCAAAAACAACTTCAAAGCATGACAGTGAAATTTTCATGCAAGCTGAGAAATAAGGATACAAAGCCCTCCCCCCCGGTGTTTTCATAGCTAATCCTTTTTAAAGTTGACATTAGGGATTCACTGTTTCATAGCTCCCAGCTAGCTACCTGTGTGCTCCGTTTAGTAGTGGATGGTCTGAATATTTCTGAATACCCACTGATTGACTTTTACGAAGTAGTTTCTCATTGGCTGTTCTTAATATTTGTGATGAAGAACTCTCATAGCTGAACCAGATGTTGAGATCTCAGTGATGGTCATCCTCAGAACTGCCAGTGCTCTTCTTGCATGCTGAATAACTTTTTTTTAATTACCTGATGCAGAGTCTGCCAGTCTGACCCTGCACAATTTGTGAAAATGTTGGAAGAATTTTTCACTGTCACTGTCAGAGCATGATGCCTATCCCAGAATTAAATTGTTATCCTACCATGTGTCCCAATGCATGCCATGGTCAATACAGGATATAGTGGTTTTGAATCCAAATTCAGATGTTATCAAGTTGCATTATTGGAAACTGCAGCAACAAAAATAAGTGCAGACAATAAACTGCCAGTGGATTGTAAAGGAGATTCACTAATTTGAACAACTAAGTAAGAGAAGCCTTTGGAAGCTGTCATGAGGGTTTTTTTATTTGTTATTTTTGTCCTGCTTTGTATGCTATTTATGAATTGGTAGCTTACTTTGCACATTGTATGTCTGTTTCAGACATGTCCCTCTTATTTGTACTGTATGCAATGACCTATGGCAACAAGCAAACATTTATTGTACCAACAGAACATGTGTGCCTTAGTCTTTGAGGTCAGCATGAAAATTTCAGTTTATATCTAGCATATTTGCAAGTTGTTTTGGCATTGTATTCAGTAACGTATTATTCTATTGCAATAGTACCTGACAGAGATCACTGTTACTAGATTGGAAAGCTGAGATGAGAGATAAGAGATGAGTACATGGAGAACAGTAATGCAAAAGAGAGCTTCAGTGTGACTCATTGGGTAATTTTTAGATATAGACATGGAAGACCTTGTTTCAAATCAAAGTTCAGCCATGGACTCATGCATTCAGTTTCTATCCACAAAGTAGGAAAAATAATAATCTACTTAACAGGATGAAAGTAAATGGTTTGAAGTAAGTCATTCTATACATCTGAAATGAATAATAAAAATTAATCATGTACTCTGGCATGATGTAAAGGAAATAAAAGAAGCAGCCATCTTATGAGCACAGGTCTATGCTTTCTGGACGGGGCTGCCATACCACCACCCTGCCCCTCCTTTTTTATTTCTGATGGTGAGAAAGGAAAGGTTGGGGTCAAGTTTATGTACATGATACAAACCGGATAAGCTGTAATGAAATTCCCATCAAAAGCCTACCCACATTGACCTAGGGCATCTCTTTCCCCTTGTTGTGGGAAAAGGTTCTCAATCCACATCCTTCTCCCTGCTGTGTGTGTTGAATTATTAGTTGGAGGACTAATTGCCCTTGTTCAGGTTTGCCTCCTGCCCCAGCTTTTTTGGAGTGTGGCCAATTAAGGTGCTTCTGCCCCAGCACTCTTGTCACATTTCATCTCATTTCAGTTTTGATCCCTGTAGTTCTGGAACTAATCTTTATATGTTTCCCATACATGTGCACTTCCTCCTACCAGAATTGCTGTTTTTTGTTTTTTAAAAAATATTCCTTTCTTAATAAATACTGAATTTGTACAATTCTATCCATACCCATCTCAACAAAATCTATCATATGTCTGATTCAGATGTAACGGGAAACCATGGTTTCTTATAACTCCCATGAGCTATGGCAAGCCTTGAGCTGTGTGCTCCCTTCTCCTCTTGCATGCCAGAAGGGGACAGAAGTTACAACTTCTAATTTTAAACTAACCAGTTTTCTGCAGTGTCCACAGTTGGGGTAACTGATTTGCCTAAACCGGGGTGGGAATCCATTTTCAGCCTGAGGGCCACATGTGAATGGCTTGTATAGGTACCCCTCCCTCCTTCATCCAGGAAGCAAGATGTATCACCACAGTTCAAGAACAGGCACCTTGCAGAGGGTTTGGGGCTTGGAGTAGGCAAGCAACTGCTGGAGGGCTGAATAAAGAGGACTGGAAGGCTGCATTCAGCCCATGGGTGTGAGGAACATAAGACGCCATCTTACACTGAGTCAGACCACTGGTCTATTTTCCACAGTATTATCTACACCAGGGGTTTCCAAACTTGGATCTCTAGCTGTTTTTGGACTACAGTTCCCATCATCCCTGACCACTGGTCCTGCTAGCTAGGGATGATGGACGTTGTAGTCCAAAAACAGCTGGAGACCCAAGTTTGGTAAACCCTGGTCTACACTGACTCATAGCTGGTCTCTATGGTTTCAGGTGAGGGACATTCCCAGCTGTGCCTGGAGATGCCAGGGATTCTTCTCCATCCTGTTAGTCATCTGTTTATCCCAAACTTCTCCGTGCATCCCCCCCATCACTTTTCAAACCACAAAAAGTCTCATTAGTTTTTTTTAAAGTGGATTAGTTGTGCTAGGACAAATAACTTTAACCCACTCTTAACTGTTCAAACCTAAAGTTCTGGTATACCTCTGAATCCCTCCCACAAAACAGTGATAGTCTGGAGGTACCCTCAGAAGGGAAAGTGACCGATCCCCTTCTTGTGGGGACAAAAGAGTGGGTTGGAACTGCACAGGGGGAGCAAAGAGGGGATCATTCCACCTGGCAAGTCAAAATGCTTGCCTAATGTTTAATGTTGGCAAGAACATGTTGGGGGAAATGGGAGTAGTTAAAAATCAAAGTGCAACTGTATATATGGATGCGAGAGAAGTGACGTAGTTAATTCTGTTGCAGTTGTTTTAGCAGGAGAACAAGGAGCAGAAAAGGATGTATGCGAACACAGCCATAGCCATACGATGCTTTGTGAATAGTATCACCTAGATATAATAGAGGTGTCACTGCTTTTGTTTCCCTAATGCGACCTTTTGGAACAGGCAGCTTTTACCAGCATTGAAAACTGCTTCTTCCCATCCCCACCCTGTTCTTTGAAATACATCCAAAACAGGAGTGTTATGGAAGAGTAGATTTGAAGTGGATCAGCTCTGTTGTTTTAAGGGCCTCTCATTTTACAGTTAGTAGATCAAGCGTCTCCATTGCCTGCATATCACAGAGGGCCCAGGTCAGAGCCCAGACAGACATGGGGGATGAGAGTGGATACAGTGGCAGGCTGGAGAGAAAGCAGAAGCCGAGGGGAGGGAGGTTGACGTTTAAAACACAGGCACTAGGGTCCTGGCAGTTGACAGAGGGCCATCGAGGAGTCAGTGGCTGGTTGAGCAGACAAGCTTTCGGAGCAGTGTCTTGTTTGGGAAATGGTTAAGCTCCTCCTCAGCATTCCCACCCGTATTTGGCAGGGTGAAGGTTGCAGCCTGCTCCAGAGGGGGAATGGGAAGCTCCAGATCTTCATCCAAAGGATATTTTTCCCAGGCTCTTTCCTCCCACACAGACCTGACAGGCATTTTTTTTCAGTCCAGACAGTATTTGGCTTAAGCTAGTTCTGGCGGGTGCAGCTTAAAAAGCAAATTATGGGGTTTATAGTTATTTGAAAAAATAACACAGTAACTGTGCAAAGCTTTTCTCATGAACGTGCCATATGCCGGATCTCTGATCCTTAGTGAATGTCATCTTCACTGCTGCTGAAATACTGTTGGAGCCACACCTCCTTGTTCACTGCCTCAGCTGGTGTCTTGTGCTTGCTGCTACGTGCTGAGCTCTGCCCACCAAAGTTTCTGACTGGGATATTGACAACAGAGGCAAGAAAAGTATCCCCTTCAACCATAGATAACATTTATGTGCTTATTTAAAATAAAAGTTGTGCGGCTACAGGAAATAAAAAAGCATTAATTTTGGTTATAATCCAGCTAAATTGTGATTAAGTCTTTTTGAAAGTTGCAACTCACTTGTTCCTTTGGTTTCATTGGAAATGCAGTGCAATCTTACAAATGTTTATTTGGAAGTAAGCCCCACTGTGTTCAGCGAGGCTTCCTCCTGTTAAGCCCAATCCTAAACATACTAGGGAGTAAACCTCACTGAATGCAGTTGGGCTTAATCCTGCAAAAACATGCATAGCATTATGCTCTCAGTCATGCTTAATTTTTTTGTTAACTCATTATGAGAACAAGATACATTATGTAGCATTAGTTGACAATTCTGTTACATCCTAGGGTATGAGTTTCTGTTGTACGTAATACCAAAAAAGCTCATTGAGATTCTACTGTATGTAACGGATCATAATTCTGAATCTGAATTTAATACTTAATTTTCTTATAGGATAATTTATATCCTGTAACTTCTGCCCTAAAAAAGGCCATCAGATAGATCTCCCAAGTATTCTGTTAGAACAGCCATGCTACTAAACGCCTAGTCATTTACTGTACTATGCTGCAGGGTTGTTTTTTACCTGCCTGCCTGCTTTTTCCCCCACAGCGTCCTCTTGTGAATAAAAAGCAAGTAAAAAATAATACTAACTAGCAGGCTAGAGGAAGTATAGCAGCTACTATACTTCCTCCTCTACTCCCCATCGGTCTGTCCATTTTCTCCCCTGCTCCATTACTAGAGATCCTCATAGAAAAGGGCTCCTTTTTCTTTTTCATAGGAAAGGGCAATTGGAGCCAGCTCCAGCTTCTGTCTCCATTTGCTGGAGCGTATCTTGGCCTCAAAGAGCAGGCACAGACAGAGCTGGCTCAATGATACTTGTGCAGAAGCTGACTGGGCTGGCGAAGCAGGGCCCCTGCTTCATCAGCCTGATCATTTGCCTTGAAAAAATTCCATGCATTTGCCTCTGTGAAATTCCTGGGCGCCAATGGTGATCAGATGAATGGTTAATACAATTCTGTATTAAAAACAAAAATCCTGCCTTGCAAAATTACAAACAGACAAGAACTCAAAAAATCATTGTCTTCCGTGAGTTGAATTGAATTGAGGCATTTAGTGTTTTTAGCACCCCAACTTTGTGTTTTGCTATGTAATTTTGTGTAACAAAATTGGCAAGAGGTTCTGTGAATAAATTGGACCTTAATTCACAGTCTGATCTCTTCATGGAAGAAATTTTATAGAATTGAGAACGTAGCACAAATGTTCCCAATTTCGCCTCCGTCTCAATTGTGTGAAGCAATGTGTTCATTACAACTAAAATGGTGGCGTGCGCAGAGAGTGACTCATTTGGGATAGTCCGAGTCTCAATTCGGCTGCTCAAAACAGGAGAAATGGGACATTGTGGTGGGTCTGAAGTTTGATTGGCAGGTAACAAGGGGAAAAGCAGTGCTCTTTTACGCAGTCCTCTTGTTGGAAAGGCAGCTGCTTTGTGCAACAGCTGCAATTTCTGAATGGCCTTTAATGGCAGTCCCAAAGAGGATGTCCCAAGGAAAGTGTGTCAAGGAAATCAATATAGGAAAATATGGCTTGTTGGCTGGGGTTGTTGTGGAGAAGATGCATCAGATTGGCCTTCAGAAAAGAACGGAGAGCACCCCTGCCCATTGCTGCTCTTCCAAGTGTCTCTGATATTTATCTTAAAGCTAAGTTGGGATAATGTATGTAGCTAACACACCTTTCAGTCTTCTTGCTTCCTGAACATTTCTTTTGCTATATGTACATGTAGCATCAAGCATTTGCCAAAGCTGACAAGCAGCTTTTCTGAATTAGCTCTGTCATCAAGTGAGGATTATCATCTGTGAGTCTTTTTCCTTTCATTGCAGTATTTTGATGGTTTTAGGTTACTGTCTCCCCCAAACATCTTCTAGCCTCATGGAACCAAATCTGCTTTAATACTCTTGCTTCTCAGGCTGTCATTTCAGGAACTGAAATACTCAGCAAGCCATTGAGCAGCTGATTATAGTAGAAAGTTCATTTTCACATTGTCTCTTAACCTTCTCAGCAGCACCAAAGCATAATTAATATTGAAGCTAATCCCTTTACTGCCCCAGTGCACACTTCCTCCAAAGGTGGAGGCAAATTAAGACTCCCAAGGAAAATTAACTCTTCTATAAACTACTTCTGAGCTGGAAGCTCTGTTAAGTTTCTCTGTCATTCACTTTCCTCTTGCTTTCTTTTCCTTAGCTTGTCCATTGGCCAAATTTCCTTCCTGATACAGGCAATCGGAAAATGTGTCCCAAAGTTGCATTTTAGCCTCAGGGTAATAGTCTCTCAAGTCCCAAATCAAAACATTGATTTGGTGCATTGATTTCAGTTGATCTATGCAGTGTATGACTAATGTTGGCTATTGACAATTAGGATAGCTAGTCCACATGTAGTCTTGCTTCAGGTGGAGCACACACACACACACACACACACACACACACTGGATGAAGAGCTGCACGCTTAGTCACTGCCCCTAAAATGCCTCATGCAATAGCTGGGGCTCACACCTATCGATGGAGCTGGGGGAAAATGAACAGCTATTGGCTCCCATTTCCTAAACAATTTGGTATTATCAATCTGACTGGAGCTGCACATAGTTTTGAGTATCAGCAACTTTGCATGTAGAAACTTCCATTTATTAATTTATTTATTTGTACTATGTTTTTCTACATGCTGGAAGCTGCCCAGAGTGGCTGGGGCAACCCAGTCAGGTGGGCGGGGTACAAATAAATTATTATTATTATTAAGCCAATGTGCACCTCATGCTGCTGGTGGTTTGCCCCTGAAGGCTTTTGCCCCTAGAAATCAAATAGGCTGTAAGGTGCAATGCTTGTCCTTTTGGAGCTTCTCTTTGGAATAAATCTGATTACAGTACACCTTCCTGATATTATGGGAAGGGCCTTAGCTCAATGGTAACCTGTTCTGCATGCAGACGGTCCTGCCTTCAATCAGACATCCCTAGGTAAGGCTGGGAAAGACTCTAAGTTGTATCCAACTAAGTCTTACTAAGAGAATCACAGCAAGTCTTGGAATGAAAAGGCAGAGCACAGAATTCTAGAATTGCAAAATAAGTCATCTAGAGAGGTTACTTACCAATGCTGATATAATAGAGAAGCTGAACGTCGCTCATTAGCAGACCTTGCTTATGTCTTCAGCCTCAGGACTTAATGATAAAAAGGTTATCGTATGATAACTGGATCTTACTAGCATTATTTGCTTGTTATTTTGTGGACCTGGGACCTCATGCTGGAGTTAACACTCTTCACATACAAAGGTAGCAGCTACATGAGGGGGTAATACACAATTACATTGGTGTGTTTACTTGTGTGATTAACTGAGCCAAGAATACAGTAGTCTGTACTACAGCTAAGTCAAGCTTGTTCTAGTGCCAGTGTTCACTGAACACATGTGATCCTAGTTTGGCTTATCACAGAAAAGCTGTCTTTGTCAATTAGGATGAAATCCAGCATCCTATTCTTATGCAGGGTCCTGGAGCATCCAGTTTGAGAGGGGAGGCAGAGTGGTAGTACTACGAAGTTTGCTCTGGCCTGGACTCACATTCTACCATGTCCCCAATACTAAACAACATGGCTACATCTACTTTGGCAACGCAGAGAAGAACCTGGACCTGCCCTTCATGCTATAATAGCACGAGGCCGAAAATGGAAGAGATGCCTTGTACTAATTTTGTATTTGAAACTGGGTATGTCTTTTTGCTTTAATAGATCAGCATGAAATCAGTCTAATGTGTTAGTGAGACCATATTTTAAAATATTAAGCAGATCAGCTGTGTGCCATCTAGCCTGTAAGCCAGCTGTATGTCATCTACTCTTTCCCTCTAAATTATGTCAGTCTCCTTAGAGTGCAGCAAGACCAGTACCAGAAGCATTATTGTTTGTTCACTTTTGTTTTACTTTGTATTTATGTACTTAAACATTGATTTGGCAGGGTTTGTTTGTTTGTTTTGGTAATACTGATTTATTCTGCATTTGTTGAATTTTGATTTTTGTCATTTGAATTTACTAACATGCTCTGTAATTTGTATGTTTGTATTTTCAATGTTTTGATTTTTTTGAATGTTTGGTGTGAGCGGCTTTGGGCACAGCTCATTGTGGAAAAGCTGCATATAAGTAAACCAAATCATCAGTAAACACCTTTTGATAAATTACCATATGCACTTGCCATATGTACTCATTCCCTGCAGGGCTCATATTCTGTCTCCATTACTTTACAAAGGAACTAGAAATAAGAGACCTCCTAGGATTAGGAAATCAGGAATCCTAATTGTCGGTTTGCTATCCAGGCACATGAGCTATGTAAACACAGAAAATGAAATTGTTTTGTGGTATAAAGTGTTACAGATGCATAGTCTACAAGTCTAGTAGGACACACAAGTAATTTCTGGTTTGACTATTTGCTCTGGACTCCAACTTTTCCTTTAATTATGCACATTTTCTAAACACACATCACTTTTCCAATTGCACCAACAAAATCAGGCTGTAGTACAATCATTCTTCGTGTACAGTACTTCAGCACTTGATACTTTATGGACATTATTTTTGCTTTCATTATACATTATATTGGGCTGACTGCACATATTCACAGATTCCATAAGTTGCATGTATTTCTGAGATGTAATTGTGTGTGAAAATGAAGTTTAGAATGCACACGTCCTCTCTAGAAGGTTTCACTTGCAGCATAAAAAAGCCATTACAAAAATACCATTCTCTCCAGTGGCTCTTTTAGGAATGTTGCTGTGTCTGATGACTTTGGTTAATAGGTTCAGGTAGGGAGGGATTACTGTGAGCTGGTAGATCTAAAAGACTGCTGGCCAGTGCCTCAAAATAGTGGCTGCAATAAAACAAGCATTAGAGCTGAGCAGCAGAAAGAATTAAGCCTATTTTTTTTGACCCAGAGCATTTCCCCAGCATAGAAACTAAAGTAGCCTGTAGAGGAAGTGACAACTACAGTTGTGTGATACTAGTTGCCTCACTTCTATCCAGGCTTCCCCCCATCATCACCATTTAAGGCTCCCTTGTGCATGTTTCCCAGCAACCTGGCTATAGCAATACTCCCCCAATCTACCTCATCACCTTGAAATACTCAAAATTTTACAGGACAAAAAGTATGCAAATCATAGGCTACAGATGAAAGGGGGCATACAAAATTAAGTTGTTTGATTTTGTCTATACTGGTTGCAGGCTGTACTGTTCCCAGAATCTCCTTTTGGTTTCACAAATATTAATCTCATTTTTGTCCTCAAGATCATAAGCTTTTCTCTCAAGGCTGAAGTGGACCTATATAACTGATCAGAAGACTGAAGCTGAATGTGTATTTATTGCATCTGTGGGGAACTACTTTGCAGTAAATATTCTTCCTAAGTTTACACATGGCACTCCTGTAGGATTTTGTGTGTGGGGGGGGGACGGGGACAGGACAATGGGATTTTTATTCTGCTTTAATTGTCTTCCTCCCATCAGCATCATGAGCAGTAATAGACACCAGCTATTGATGTCAATTAAGGACATCACTACGGAAGGGGGGAAATCCACTTGAGCAGCGAGTTACAAATTCTTTCTCTATGGTACATGTTCAAGAGGTAGAAGCTACCCAAAGAACTGAAACAGTACACAGCACTAGGAGTCGACTCAAGAGTTTAATTGGGATTTAAATAAAGGAAGATAAAAGTTTTGTTATCCTGAAGCAACATCTATTGCATCTTTCAGTTAAATGACAATTCTACTTAGCCATTAAGTTGCCTCTTTTCTGAAAATTCCTGTATGCTTCCGGAGGAAAAATGTTCATTTGGCTCTTTCCAGAGCACCAGACATAAAAATACCTGTAATGGATTGACAAATACTGAGCCACAACTATTGTAATTTGCTGTCAACACTAGCTCTACACCATCCTAGTGGTTAAAACGAAGAGGTTTTGACCCATAAGTAACATTATCACGGAGTATAGGGTGCGATATAGGCATGGGAACCTTGCACCACTTGTGTCCCTTGTTCCAAATGGGCCGCACAGATTTGATAGAGTATCGGGTAAGGTACCTGTGAAGAGAAGCAGAAAAGAGGTCATGAGTGACACTCACAATTGAGAAAAGGTCTGACATCAAGGGGTTCTCGGTTTCATTTGTACAAGAGTGAATGCTGGGGCACTATGAAGCATAGTGCAACAATCTTGGTGTCTTATTCTAATGGGTTTTTAACAAAAAGAAACTGAACATCTTGGAGCAAGTGGGCTGCATCTCTTAGTTGTGACAGTGGGTGCAACTCACTGAAGCTGCACAGACCCAGAGCTGCTTGACTCAGCAGCAAGGACTTTGGCAAGGACCCGTGTAGCCTATGACAGGATAAATGCAGCTCCTGTTCCCCTTCCCTACTAGCTGTTGTTATACAAGAGCGGCTTGGGGCATGTACAGTGTTTCTGAATCATGATCACTCACCCCCTTCTCCATTTCAATATTTAAAATAGATCAGATACAGACTTAAGCCTCTGGCAGGTTCCAATTCTGACTGGCTATAGCTGGATGTCAGGTTTTTTTGACTGCATCAAAGGCCAGTTTCAAATGTATTCCTCCCGTTTCATCTTTTTGGGAAGACCCCAAGCTCTACAGAGTCATAAGCTGCAGGCACAAGGCAACTACATAATAGGCCAGATTCATTAGAGAGTCTCCAAAGGAATTAAGTCTATTTTCCTAAGAAACTAGGTTAAGTTTTCTTTCTGCTTGGGAATAAGAATTTGGCAGGAGAACGTATTTTCACACATGCCTATAAGAGACTATAGTGAGGCTCTTGTAGGATTCTGTTTGATTTGCTAGTGTTGGAAACAGAATCTGCAAAACAAAGAGATGCAGCTTGAAAACTGATGTTATGTGAGTCTGGTTGGCAGTGTCTGTCAGCACCCTGGAAGCAGCATTCTGCACCAATTTCAGCCTCCATTTTCAAGGGCGGTCCCACATAAAGTATATTGCAATAGCCAAATCTGGAGGTTAACAAAGGGTGGATTTCTGTAGCCATGCTTTCTCTGCTCAGGAATGGACACAGTTGGCAAGTCAGCCATATAGCTGAATGCAGGCAATCCTTGTCATTGTGGCCACCTGGCCTCCAAGTATAAATGTAGATCAAGGAGTACCCCATTTACTCTTTCAAGGGGAGTGTAACCATATCCCGAACAGATTGTCTTTACAACTTCTGGACCCCAGAACAGAAGTCCCCCATTGCTATTGGAAATTGTCCTGGAACATTACCACTGTAATACTGAGCCTCCAATGCCCAACCCTCAGAGCTGTTTCAAGAGGTCAATTGTATCAAAGGCTGCTGAGAGATCAAAGAGAATCAACAGGGTTGCACTCTACTTGTCTCTTCCCCAACAAAGGTGAACAGTTAGGGCTACCAAGAAAGTCTTGGCACTAATTCTAGCTGTGAATCCAATCCAGACAGAAATGGTTCTAGAAAATGTGTCCTCCAAGCATGTGTGAAGCTGAGCCACCACCACCGTCTCCAGAACCCTGCCACAAAAGGGGATGTTAGCAACTGGGTGAGTTGTCCAACACTTCAGGGTGCAGAAAGGACCTCTTAAGCAGGGAGCAACCCCTGCCCAACCATTTAAAACAGCCTGACACATCAACTCAGGAGGCATTTACCACTCCCAGCACCCACCCTCTGGCTAGCTTTTATTAGTCTTGATTGGCAAGCCAAATACATTCAAGCAGCTTTCCCACGTTCTCAGGCTGCAAATACATGGTGGTTGAGATCATTTTTACCATAAGCAACTAGTATTTTGGTTTTCAATCTACATTAGCACAATTGTCATTTATTTATTTGCAAAACATTCTATACCACCAACCTTTTTAAAAGGTGGTAAACAACATGAAAGCCAACAATAAAATTGCATTGATAAAATACAGAATATTTCCTTAATCAATAGATCAGCCAAATGCATCAAAACAGCAGGGAAAGCCATTCTGTAAATGGTTTGGGGGTGCTGGTCTATCAGCATGGTGGTGGAGAACTACTGTTCTTCAGTGCAAGCAGATGGGTTGGGGGAGGAGAGAGGAAGCAGGCTAGGTTCTTATGTAGTCTTGCAAGAGCACTGAAGCACTAAAAACATGACCACAGTGTAATTTGCACCACTAGACCTTGGCTCAGTCCAAAACTGGAACTGATCTGCTTCTCTGAAAAAAAATGCAACACTGCTGAGCACACAACTCTCTGGTGAGCAGTAACATGGTCTTATGACCCCAGTATGCCCCCTCCATCCCTGTGGTTTGGTCATCCTGTCTTCGTTGCACCATGCAAATTTAGATGTTAAGTGCTCTGGGCAGATCCTAGTGTAATTTATTTGATCAGTGAAGTGCCGAGCAAGCTTTGGGGGCCTGTAAAATGGTAATGAAATCTCAACAACACCAAGCAGTTATGGAACATACAAAAACCTCTCACATTAATCCAGCATTTTTCACAACAAAGGATCCCAAAGAGCTTTTCAAACCAAGTGAAAAAACAGACTGCATTCTGCATTCAACGCTGTCAGCATCAGAAACAAAAGAGCTTCCAAAGGGAAGCTCAGCAATAACCCTCTATCCTCAGCACATGGCAGTAGCTAGTATTACAGGTCCATTAGTGCAGAAGCCACTTCAGGTACAAGTCAAAAAGATCAGCAGCAAGGAATTAGCAGAAGTATATTATGCTTTATGCAAAAGGAGCACCAATTAAAAATTTTTTTTAATCAGCCCAACGCATGAACTCAAACCAGCCTTTGTGTTTAATTCTGGGCAGAAAAGGAGAAAGCTGGGTCTGTGGGGTCAATCTAGGAAGGACAACTGAAATTTAAAAACTCTAGTTCATTCTGGAAATGCTCTACTGGTATTTCATTGAAAGTGGGTAAATTTGTTTTACCTGAAGGCCAAACATCAATTTACCATATTTTTTGCACCATAACACTCACTTTTTTTCTCCTAGAAAGTAAGGGGAAATGTCTGTGCGTGTTATGGAGCGAATGCCTGTGGGTGGCGGGGGGAATCTGCTGCAGTCGTGAGCAGAGGATCCATGGTTCCCCTTCCTTCCCTCCTCCGTGGTTACAAAGCATGGATCCACATGGATCCTCAGGATTTTTGCATTGGGCTACTCCAAACTCACTGTCAGATCACATGTCTGTGGCCACAGCATGAACCACAAAAATCATATATCCACTATTTCGTTTAGAATATTTTTTTCTTGTTTTCCTCCTCTAAAAACTACGTGCGTGTTATGGTCTGGTGCGTGTTATAGAGCGAAAAATACGGTATTTCCCCCAAAGGCACTCAAGGTGGCATACACAGTTCTCGCTCCCATTTTATTGCTGCAACAACCCCGTAGGTAGATTATGCTGAGAGTGAGTGACTGGCCCAAGGTCACCCAGTGAGCTTCATGGCTGAGTGGGGATTTGAATCCTGATTGATAAACCCAATACACTAACCACTACACAACACTGGCTCTCCACTGGATTATAAATAAAATCCAGTGGAGACACTGCCTGTTCACTTTAACGGTTGAGGAGGATACCAATGTAACCTGCCAAACAACTTTTATAGGCATTTAATGGAGGAAAGGAGGCTCCTTTGATAATAAATGATCTCACTGGAAGAGGAAATCTGGAGGTACACAAGCAATGAGAGGTAGTTATGTTGAAGTCAATGGCTTAAGACATCCCTCCATTTTCAATTAGAGCCTTGGGAGGCACACACTCCAATTCTGGGAAGGAAAAGGGATTTAGCAAAGGCCAAATTTTAAAGCTTTTATTGTTTTTCTTAAGCAGGTTAATCCAACTCTCTGGTCCAGGCCTGTGGCTTCTTTTGTGAACAGCAAGCCGACTGGGGGCTTTTCACTGTTAGCTGAAACAGACTTTTGGACATATGCCCTTCACGGAACACACTTTACTTTTACTACTTCAAACATGCTTTGTCCAAAACTAAAAAATGCCCCTGTTTATTTACTCCTTTTAATGTTGATGATTTGGCATGGGAGAAAAACAAGCATTTCCCTCGGGCTGGAGGCAGTCTCTGCTACGCCAAACATTCCCTCTTTGCCTAACCCCATTTCACTTTGGTGAAACTAATTTTCTGCAGAGGAAAAGGGTTTCCACATGTCCCTAATTTCCAAATACAGTCATCAGTGGTACACTTGGCAATAAGAGAGATACTACAGTTCCTTTATCTCTTCTTTTCAAAAATTCAAGCCAAGCAACACCAGAAAAATCCAGGTTGATACTTGTGGGCATTTATTTTGGACAAAATCCCAAGGTGAGTCTTTTCCTGCAACAGGGAAAGGTGAGGTTACAGGGAACCAGGCAGAGGGCCTTCTCGGTAGTGGCGCCTACCCTGTGGAATGCCCTCCCATCAGATGTCAAGGAAATAAACAACTACAGTGTTACCTCGAGTTACAAACGCCTCAGGTTACGAAAGCTTCAGGTTACAAACTCTGTGATCCTGTTGATCCTAAATTGGACTGTGATCCTGTTGAGCCTAAATTGTCTAGCATCCATTGACCTTCAAAAAGCATGCTGCAATTACTGTATTTTTCGCTCTATTGGACGCACCGGACCACAGGACGCACCTGTTTTTAGAGGGGGGAAATCAAGGGGAAAAATATTATTCCCCCCCCCCAGCCCCAAAGAGCAAGGGGCAGGCTGCGTGCAGCCTGTCCACTTCTCCCAGAGCTTCTCGGGGCTGCGGGGGAAGCCTGGGTCCCACCCCCAGCCCCAAAGAGCAAAGAAGCCAAGACAGCGAGCGGGATCCATAGCCGTGCAACCTCTCCAGCCAGGAGCTAAACCTCTCCAGCGCAGCTAAAGAAGAAGACAAGGCAGCGAGTGCGATCCATCCCGCTCACTGCCCTGGCTTCCTCTTTAGCCTTGAGCAGCATCTTTAGCCTTGTGCAACAGGATGGATCGTGCCCGCTGTCCACCGGGGCTGGACTAGATGACTCCTGGGGTTCCCTTCCAACCCTGCAATTCTATGACCTTGGAAGGTGTTGGGGGTCTCCACCAATGGAGGCTTTTAAGCAGCAGTTGGGGGACCATCTGCCTGGCGTACTTTAGCTGTAATTCCTACATTGTGAGGGGGCTGGGCTAGATGACCCTCGGGTGGCCCTCCCAACTCTATACAGTCCTACACTTCTGCGGCAGGAGATCCACAGCCACTTCACACAATGCCCACTCCCAATTTTCATTGGAGAGACATGTGGCTTCAGTGTCTAGGTAGGTACCCCCCCTACCTGCCACTCTCCCCCCACCCCACTTAAGCCGAGGGAATTCCTGCCCAGAGAAGCTCCCAGGTGAGGCAAGGGTTAAGATCTACCTCTGGTAAATGGCTTTCCCTTTTCTCTTCTTCTTCTGTGCTATTTCCTTTTATGTTTTGTTTAATCTGTTTTTATTGTATACTAAAATAAAAGCTGCAAAGTTTCCTTTTTTATAATATCCCCCCCTCCAAACTAAAACGTTAATCTAGATAAAAACACTGATCCAGAGGAAAAGAAGGGGGTGGAGAAAGGACGAAAAAAGAAAAAGAGGTAGAGATAGAGATAGAGAGATTTTTTAAAAGTTGGCTTCTTTAGCCTTGCGCAGCCTCCCACGGCTGGAGAGGCGTGCAAGGCTAAAGAGGAAGCCTGGGCAGCGAGGGGATGGATTGCGCTCGCTGCCCAGGCGTCCTCTTTAGCCTTGCGCAGCCTCCCCCCGGCTGGAGAGATTGCGCAAGGCTTTTCTAGAGGAGGGAGAAGGGACTGACTGACCGTGTCAGTCCCTTCTCCCTCCTGGGGAAAAGCCTGCAAGAGCCCCACGAAGCTTGTGTGTGGCTCTTGGGGGCTTTTCCTGACTGCCTCCCCCCCTGCATTTGCTCCATAGGACGCACAGACTTTCCCCCTTAGTTTTTAAGACGGAAAAACTGCGTCCTATGGTGCGAAAAATATGGTACTTTCTATTGTTTTCAGAGAAGCACAGCACAATATACAAATATGGTCTTAGTACATCCACCGATACAATGAGTATTACTTTTACCATCTACAGCAATTATGAATTTAACTTCATGCAAGTAAAATAGCTAGGCAGCAATTGTTAGAATGTTGGACTAAGATCTGGAAGACCAGGGTTCAAACCTCCACTTGCCTATGAAGCTCACAGGCTATTCTTGGACCAGTCACCATGTCTCAGTTATAAGCCCATCATAATACAACTACAACTGATCAGATACCATGTCCAAACTGAAGAACATAAACATATGAAAGCTTGCTAATACTTGCCAAATTGATTCTGGTACAAAAGTGTTTACCCCTCCCCTCCTCCCCGTGCCAATTTTTATGAATGGCTCAACAAGGCTCGAAACATTATAATGGCATTAACATATAGTTGGTCTGCACCAACATAGATGAACACAACAAAAACAGTTTCAGTAGCCTAGAACAGGGGTTCCCAAACTGCGGTTTGTGAACCACTGGTGGTCTGAGCTTCATTCAGGTGACCCACAGCCTGTCTGTGAAAATACAATTTAAAATTATAAAGCACCTATCACAGTGCATTAAAATTGCTACAACAAGCAAAAAAATCCCTAAGTGGCCTGTCAAGATTCTCAGCAATTTTCAAATGGTCTATGGAGAAAAAGGTTTGGGAATCATTAAGCTAGAAACTTATAGAAATCCTTGGAATGTGCAAATGCACATATTAACATTTGGTTTATGGAACTATAGGAGTTTCTACACAGAAATCACATCTTTTAAAAAGTTTGCTATTCACCTTAGCCATTCCCATTATGGGACAAACAATGAAAGGAGAAGGGCGGAGGGCTGTCCACTATAACATGCCAGCAGCCGAACCAGTCCGGCATTCTGTTGCCATAGGTATCAGGTCGCCCACTGCAAGCATAAGCAATGCATGAATGCAACAGCGCTCTCCCCACTCATGTTCCCAGAAACTGGTATTCAAAGGCATACTATTTCCAACACTGGAGGTAGTACAGAGCCATCATGACTAGCCATTGTCAGTTTTATCCTTCATGAATCTGCCTAATCCATTTTAAAGTTGCTCAAGTGGATGGCAATCACTATAACTTGAGGTAGCAGATTCTGTTGTTAATGATTTGTTATGCAAAGAAGTCCTTCTTTTTGTCGGTCCTGAATCTCAACACTTTAGGTTCATCCATTTTTGCCACCAGAGCACCAGCAAGGGATAATGAGCACTTGTCAGGATCAGAGGGAAACCCCACCCCTCTGCCTCCCATCTATAGCTCTGAGCTATAGGCATGTTGGCTTGCTCTACCTCCATTCTTGAAAGTGTGTAACAGGGAGAATGCTCTGAGCCCATAGTGCAAACCGACGCACCATCCTCTCCAGCCTGGAGCTGAGGAGGGTAGGCAGAGGCTTGTTACTGCTGTGTACTTGCACCTGCCAAGTGCAGAGCAAAAACAATGTCAGGCTTCTGCCACAAATTTGGAATGGGGAGGGGATGGAATTCATCAACCTTCACTGGAGGAAACCTTGGACTCATCTCACTCTCCAGAGCCTGGTTAAACACTCAGCATTGTGAATGGTGAGGGAGACTGTCAAACCCCATGAAAGTGAGAAGCAGAGCTGTATGCTGAGCTCCTTGGAAGTAAGGTGTGATATAAAATAAACTTATGGTATCTCACTACAAAACTTTAAATGACCTCAATCTGAGGTTTCATGTAGATGGTAATTCTCTGTGAGCATCTGGCTGCAAGATGTGTGTGGTTTGGGAGTTCTGGTTTGGGGGCTGGTGCTTGAACGTTATAGCTTGCATTATAGATACAGCCTGAACTTTTCGTCATTTGGTCCTTTCCATTTCAGAATCACTTTTCTTGTTTTCAAGCAGATCATTTACCCCCAAGCCCAGTTGGTTGGTCAGTGCCATCTGATATCAGCCAGCTTCTTCCCACTGTCCCATGAGAGAGAACTCCAAGCTTTTGTACAGTCAGGGCACCAGGCCAGACAAAGACAGCTCAATGGGTTACTTATCTCTTTGCTTAGGGGGAACAATGAAAAGAATTTTGAGGGGGAAATGGGCATGGAAAGTGGCCTTCAGGTTAAAGTAACCATTTACCCATTACATGTAAAGCAGAATTTCCCATGAAGTCACACACACTGTATGCCTGACTTTTCATTCTGAGAGAATAAAAAGAAAAAAACAGAAAAAAACCTCTTCCTGTCTTATTATGAGGTGGTAAGATGGAAAATTCTGAATGCTTGTGTGAATGAAATATAGGATCTGAGACACACAAACTCTAGTGGGAGAAATTTCTCAGTTCTGATATTTTTCAGGTAGCACTGCAAGCTGCTCTCACAAGATCTGAACATGTTCAATATATAGTCTATAACGTTTTTAAACAACCATTTCTCATGAACTGTTATTTCTGATTAAGCTTTTTATGCCTTCTTCTCTCAGTACATATAAAGAAAAGGGAGCAGGGATACATCTTCCTATTGAACAATTTGTTCATATTGCAAATAAGGACCCCGCAGAAACTGCCTACCAGACACAGGACGGCAATTTTATTAAGGAAACAGCTTTCTGGGTCAATTCGTTTTAATGTATGGTGAGATCATTGGGGGGTGTTGTTGAAAGGAATGATTGGGTGGGACACACACACACACTAATCAGGGATTTGCTTACTTCACCCCCTTTCAACTTTAATTAACTTTATCTTGGGAAATATATTCCTGTATATTAAAAGTGTGTTAATGGAACCACAATAAGACCACTCTTTTTGAAAAGCATCCAAGGTCATTTTCTTGTGTTTGTGTGAAGGCAATCTAGTCAAGCTGTAACCAGTGGGACTCCATCAGTCAAGTCAGAGCCACTGCACAGCTTTTCTGTCACTTTTCCAATTCTTCCTTGGAGAAATATTCAGAACTCTATGGTGGCATTTCAGATGAAGGACCTGCTTGCTAACTCAAGTAAGCATGAGGAGCCTGCTGCATTTTCAAGGAGCTACTTTGATCACCATGGACAGAACAGGCTCAATGTGTGAGGCAAAGCCACCTGTGGAGGGAACAGATGTATCCATCTTTTGTTTCCTTTGTCTTTTGCTTGGAGAAGGGAAGCAAACTGAAAAGTCTGAACAAGCTATGCTAAAGGAAGCCTTGAGCTAAGAGATCTGGTGTTTCCAAAGCAAAAAAACATTATTTCTCCTATACTAAAGACCTGCAGTGGTCTGTTCAATTGATGGCACTTCAAGACTTAGTAGCTCAAAGGCAGTAATGGCAGATGAGATGACCAAGAGGAGTAGAGAAATGAAAGTCCCCAAAATATTGATCTTTCTTTTCAGCAGGAAAATGTCTCTCTATTTCCTACCGAAGACCCAGTCACTTAGCACTCTTCCCCCTTTTAAACACTGTGATTTATGACATTGCAAATTATGTAAGTCTTACAGGTGGAAGCAAGAAGCACCGAAGATGGAGGTACTTAAACAAGACTGCAGCAGAGCTGAACACGGCAACTTTCAAGCTTGGGGCCTGTACCTTAAACAAAATTGCTTCTTTTGAAGCTGCTCTAAAGAAAATGGGACATGGCAGTTTGGACAGAGTGTCATGACCTAACCCCCCTAGGGCTGTAGAAAGGAAGTGGTTAAAAAGTCTCCTGTCCTTTGCATCACTGGCTGTTCCAGAGATCAACGTGGGAGGCACAGGTGGGGGTAGGCACAGAGCCAAACCCCTCAACACTGCTGTAGCGGTTGAGACATGGCAAGGCTCCAAAAATGCAGAATTTTCTACCTCCAGCCGACAGAGACAATACCCTGATGAACTGGAGTAGCATTCCTAAAAAGCAGAACTCCAAGCAGCCCCCATAAATATTAGTATCTACTTTCCTTAACTATCCCACCCTAATAATGCCTTCTCCACATTCAACTATCAGCCCTTGTTCCTCCCTGGCTGCCTGGCTCTGTTGCCAGATCCATTTCTGGCTTTCTCCTTGAGCTCCCCACTCACCCCCATCTCTCCCAGATTCCTTCTGGGTGGTGGGAAAAGCAAAGGAAAGCAAGGACAGGAGATGAAGCAGGGATACCAAAACTAACGTTGTTGTAGATGTGATGCCAGACAGAGCGACTACTCCTTTTGCCTATTCAAATTTGGAGGGGGGCAGGGGACTAGAATTCATCACTTCCTGCCTTCATCTAGTAGGCATTATTTCACAGCTGCAGGGAGTCACCCTGGAGTTAATAAATCAATGTGTGAAACTTGCAAGATACAGATTTGATATTCTGAAAGCAAAGCTGTGGAGCGGCAGGAGTCTTCCTTTTCAAACCTCAGGCATGTGCCACACTTAGACTCTTCCCCAATATTTGCACAGAACATGATCTTCAGAGAGAAACACTGGCCTATAGCACAACATCTTAAGAGAAATGGACTACCAAGGGTTAGGCCCACACTGCAAGAGGCATCTTGTGCTGAAAGCCTGGAGCCTCTGATTTCTCAAGCAACGTGCCTGTGGCCTTTAGTAACCCCACAGCTTGCTAATATGAACTTCATAAACTGCTTTGACATCCCCATGGAAACAGAAGGCGAGGTCATAAATAGGGGATTAGCACCTCTTAACACAGAGCAAAGCAAAAGAGGCAACAGGGGGTTTAAGTTCCCCCATTAAGGGGCAAGGGGCTGCTTGGCAAGGAGGGAGGGCAGGATGGAGAAGGAAGAGTGCGACAGAGGAAGGGCAAACCGCGGGTGAACTACAAACTGTAGACAAAAGAGGAACAGGCACAGGACAAAGAGGGCAACAAATCTAATGAGCTCCTCTTTCCTGTCCCGTCCACCACCCACTGCCAATACCTAGACAGCCTGTCTATTTCAAAGCTCACACCAGCACAGAAGACGGCAGCGACTGTTTTCCCCAGCTCCATTTTTCTTAAATGGCACTCAGCTCCTTCAAAGTTGACAGTAGGCAAGAGAATTAATGGGAGAGAGAGGAAAGATAAAGAAGGCACCTTCTCTCTCTCTCACACACATACACACACGTTTTACAAGGTCAATATAAGCAGGTTCGTTCGTGTGAAAAAAATGAAGAATGGAAATATCAACCTGTCTGCAGCATTTCTCAAACTTATCCCCTGCCCATGTCTTAAGCCCTCAATATCTCATTTCTCTGCTCCAGTTCACCTCAAGCACTTGGCAACCAGGCCTGCACCAGTCAGCAGTTGGCAATTCCACTCTTTTCATTCAACAAATCCAGTCACATTATCACCAACATAGCACAAAGAGGCTGCTTGCGCTCTCTCCTCCCCAGGGCTAGAAAGGCCTGCTTCCCATTTTGAGAGATGTTACATTATAAGGTCTGGCTCATGAATAAGTTTGTGGCCTTCACTCCATGCATTCTAATTCTGAAAACAAAAACAACACCCCTGTTTTCAGAGGAAAACTGACCTGTTGAGCTTTGGTTTCTTGTTTTTTGGAACAAAACCTTCGGGAAGTTTAGGTTTATGATTTGGCAGCAAACCTAAAAATTGGGGTCGAGGAGTGGGAGAGATTGAGATGTCAGTTTGAGTAGATAATGTATGCATAAGATCACAGCTAAAGTACATACACCCCCCCCCCCGAGTGGGATGCCACAGGCTATTCTAGGTAACATACCAATCCCCAAATTATTATTTAAATAGAATTATATTTTTAAAATGCTAGTTTTAATGTATGTATGTGTTTGTTTTTGCTTAAAATATTGTAAGTTGCTTTGAGTTGCCATAGCAAAAAATCACTAACACATTTATTAATAGAAATCTCACTCAGATTCCATCTATTCACCAAAGTACGTCACCAAAACTGACCAAAATTTTCAACTTTCTCTCTTAGTCCAAAACTAAAAGCCTCAACATCTCACTGTAGCAGTGTTTTTCTTTTTCCTCAAAAAGGAGATCTGTTTGACATACTGCAAAATAACTGCAACCTAACTGGTTTCTAGACTCCCTGTATGTATCAAAATGTTGCCGATGGTAAATCTCTAGCCATACTGGGCAACATTCCAATATAGAAAACAGGAGTCTGTTTCCTCTGTGTCCTCCTGAATGGTTTATTTCACACACAGCATATGGGAGCCTGCCTAGTATTAAGGTCAAAGAACGTAAGGAGAAGAGGGGCAGTGGGGAGGCTCCTGGCAGCTCTGCTGCTGTTTTGCTCTGTTATACCTGGAGCACTAACAGGATTCAAAATCCAAACAATCAATGGGCTCTACAATGTTACACCACTGCCTAGCTAGCCTAACTCATTGTGAGTTGTCATATGCATCAAAAGAAGGGTTTAATTAACCAGTAACAGGTAGCCATTAACTACTCAGAAAATCATAGTTGGACTGACACTCTGTGGCATTGCAAAGCAGTAGTCTGGGAAGCATTCTTAAGAAGCAAGGAACTCAGGATGGGCAAATCCTTTTGATCATTATAGGGTCGCTGAGTCCCAGTTATCTTTGGCAGCCCAGTTTTTGCATGTAATGCATTCCAACGCAAGGAAGCCTCAAAAACTGAAGTTAGCTCCCAAACAAAACGAGTTACCTGCTCGATGAGCCATTTTCACACAGACTTCAACCTTTCTGTGCTCTTCCGTACAGAGGCCTGTGACTCTCCTGGGCAGCATCCTTCCCTCAGAGGTTATGAATTGACTGAGCAATAAAACATCCTTTAGAAGCAAAGAGAAGGGAAAAACCCAATCAACACCAGAGCATGAATGACATAATACCTGCAGAGTGATGTTTGAGCCAAAGCTTCCGAAAAGCAAGAGATTAGCCGTCTTTGATGTTTCTGCACAAACAGCTCCTACAACACTATCAGGCGTTTCCAAGGCGCTTTGCTCTATCTACTGGACTAAAAACCACTCCGTCTAACTTGCCATGGAATGCAGAGGATGGAAAAAGGGAAAGACAGTGTCATTTCAGTAGTGTAAGTAACACTGCAAAAGAGGAATCATAAAATAATCTGAGCCTGAGCATGCCCATGTCAGTTACAAATTGGTTTCCATCCTGAAACATAGCATTTTTTATTTCTTATTTATAAAAGTTAAACCTGCCTGATTAGTGTTATTTGTGCCTCTATAAAATGAAGAATCCAAAACATCACAATACCCTCCAGAAGAAAAATGTTTTGCACCTTTTTTGGAAATATATCCACGGAGCAATATTGCAACCCTACCTCAGAGGACATTCCAGAGCTTTCAACCAATATCTTGTGGCAAAATGAATAACATGCAGTATTTCTTTAGTGGAACTGGAATAATAGATAGAAATTTTGCTAAGAGGAACATTATTTTAAAAGCTATGTTGAGTTGAGATGAAAGAGCAGGATTTAGGTAACTTAAAAGGCTAACTTGCACATAACTACATCAGCATGGGAGCTGTTTCCCCATGAATTCTTCCCATGCTGCACACAATAATTTTATTTATTTATTCAAGCCAAAGGGAAGTCTACTACAGGCAAATAGATAGAAATGCATAAAATAACAAAATCCTTAAAAACACACAACAAATCACTCTTTAAAAAGTTACTAATAGCAGCAGTGATTGAGTCTCTCCTCCAAATGCAAGCTGAAAAAATGCATCTTAATTAGTCACCTAATATATAGAGAAACAGGGCCAGATGCACCTCAGTAGGGAGGTAGCTGCACATATGAGGCGCTACCACTGACTATGGAGGGAAGGGAATTCCAATACACAGTTGGCACCAATTCTTGAGGTTTTCTGCACCCATTGAAGGCACATCTGTTTCCTTAGGCATTTGCTAAACATTAGCACTTTGATGGATTTTGTTTTTTTCTCTTGTTCTTGCTTACTAAGATGCGGTATTCTTTTTATCATTGCTATGTTGATTTTTATGTTGTTGATTGAATTTTAATGTACCCTGCACCAAAACTGCCTCCACAATGAAGGGTGGGAAATAAATATTTTTAAATAAAATAAACACTGTAAACAAGTTTACTTGTTAGGGAACTGGGATGGGAGTGGAAGCTGCTTGAAAAGCCAACAGTCAGCTCAAATAATATGCACACCACCCACATGAGCAGTCACTTTGCCCAAGTAAGCTGTTTAATATCATTGGATTGACTCCTTGTTACAAAGTTTTGCAACAGTGTAATGTATGAAACAGCCCTGGGCCACCTCAAATGACCTGGCATTTGGGGACCAGGATGAAGCTTTCAAAGATCTAGGATTACAGCACACGCTCTTACATGTATTATTTTTGAACTGTATTAGCTTGTAATGCGAATTCCAAATCTTGTGTTTTTTGCAAAATGATAGTCATTCCCACCCCCCTTTGTCTTACACACTGTCTGGTTTACAAGAATTAAAAAAATAAATCAATTTAACTGGAGTTGGAGAACTACCTAACAGCAATAGTAACTCTGAGCTATGTAAATGAAGGTTGTTTTAAAAGATTTGTGATCTGGTGTATTCATTTGGACCTAGTTGGTGTATTTGCCAAGTTTAATAAGCATCTCCTTATGAAAAAATATTTAATACAATGCTTTTAAATACAAAAATAAAAATAAGGGTGCTATCCAAACAAGGACTTCTGTTAGTGCAAATAAGTTTGGCTGCACAACTGAATTTCCACTCCCTGCACCCCTTTAATCTGCTCTGGGTCCCCCCCATGGTCTGCAGCAGATTTAGGGCATGAGGGGTGTAGTGGGGAGAGGAAAAAGGCAAGTTCCACTGTGGAAATGGAAATCATTGCATTAATGGAACTATGTCCTATTGGAGAGATGTTGTTTGTAGATGACACAGCTTTGACAGGGCACTCTGAGGAAGCTCTACAGAGTCTCATCAACTGTTTTGCCCAAACCCACATGGAGTTCAGCCTTAGCATCACCCTGATGAAGACCAACATCTTGGGTCAGGATGTTGCCAGAACAGTGGTACCTCTGGATGCAAACGGGATCCGTTCCAGATCCCGTTCGCATCCAGAGCAGAACACAACCTGCATCTGCCCGTGCGCGGGTCGCGATTCACTGCATCTGCGTGATGTCATTTTGAGCGTCTGCGCATGTGGCGAAACCCGGAAGTAACCCGTTCCGTTACTTCCAGTTCGCCGCGGGACGCAACCTGAAAAGATTCAACCCGAAGCTACTTTAACCCGAGGTATGACTGTACTCCACGCATCAGCACTGGTCACTACTTGCTTAAGGTGCTAGACAATTTTGTCTATCTCGGCTCCACCATAACCAGCAACCTCTCCATTGATGCTGAGCTGGACAAGCATATTGGCAAGGTGGCTACAGCAATGTCTTGCCTCTCCAAAAGGGCACGGGAGAATGTGATGCTAATGACCAATACCAAGATGAAGGTCTACTAGGCTTGCATGTGGAGCACACTGCTTTATGGTAGAGACGTGGGCAACTTACACCCACCAGACATGATGCCTCAATGCCTCCCACATGCACAGTGTCAGGAAGATTTTGGGCATCATGTGGCAGGACAGACAAATAAATATAAGTCCTCCCAAGCCCACATTCCCAGCAGGTTTGCAGATAATCTATGCTGGCTTGGTCATGTCCACAGAATGGAAGGTGGAAGCATCCCCAAGAACATGCTCTACAGGGAGCTGGCTTCTGGCACCAGGCCCATTGACAGACTAACTCTGCATTACAAAGATGTCTGCAAATGTGACATAAAAGTTGGCAACGTGACATGAAGGCTGGCAACATCCACCCTGCCGTGTGGGAATCCCTTGCAGACGACCGCAGTGCCTGGAGACAGGGAGTCAAATTGTATTTCCATAGCAGTGACCAGAGGAGAAATGACCACTTGGAGGTGCGCAGAGAGATAAAACGCCATGGTATATCTGCATCACCAGACACCTTCATCTTCCCCAGCTGCAACAAAACATGTCTCTCCTGTCTCTACAGCCACAGCAGGCACTGTGACTCTTCAATAGTTTGACTTCACCCGCAAAGGCATATACTTTCATTGCCTCTCGAGGCAGACATATGCCAACCAAATTCTGTTAAGCTAGGTGGTGCAGCAAGCGGCTCAAAACTCCACAAATTTTATACAACCCAATTTCTCTCTTTTAATTTTTTTAAATCAACATTTGTACCCCATTCTTCAAATCCAGAGAATCATCAGAACTTGCAAGATTTAAAATCTATAGCACTAAACAGTGAGATAAACACATAACACAAAGAGCAGAATTCAATCTCATTGACAAAAGGCCTGGGGAAATAGGTTCCTTTGGGAGCTGATGAGAGAAACCTGGCACCAGATGAACCTTCCGGGGGAGAGAATGGTGAAGTTGGGGCACCACCACTGTAAAGGCTCTGTCTGTGGTCCTCACCAGTCACAGCACCTTGGCAGTAGCAGAGTCTAATGAAGAGCCTCTAAAGCAGACCTGTGAGAAAGGGTCATGTACCTGGGTTAAGTACCTGGGTCCTGTGCCTACTATATGTAGAGCAAAGTACTTAAAAAAAGAATATGAAGGCAGAAACTCTGTGTCAGGTAAATGGAATCACTATGGGGTATAGTTATGCTGCTGCTCTCTTCAACATGCCCTCTGGCTTCTCAGTCTTTAGTAGATCAGTGCCTGCACATTTCTCTTAAAAATGGAAGCTGGACTGCATGCATGTTTGGCATTATGAGAGGCATATCAATATACAGAATAAGAAATTGTCCAGACGTAAGATATGATGTGCAAGATAAGATAGCACTCTTAAAAAGCACCTCAACAGACGTTTTAGAACACTTGCCAAAATGACTTTTGTAGCACTGCTATCAGGCTATTCAGAGAGCCCATAACCACCAGCCCTCCTTCAATATTTAATTTTATTTATTAAACTAGTATCCTGACTTTCTTCTGAAAAGAGCCCAGGGTAGCAATCATCAAAATGTTAAAACAGTGAAATCCAAGTGTGATGTAGTGGTGGGACTAGGATCTGCGAAACCAGGGTACAAATCCCCACTTGCCCACAAAGCTCACTAGGTGACCTCAGGCCAGTCACCACCGCTCAGCCTAAACTACCTCATAGGACTGCTGTGAAGAAAAGGGGAGGAAGGGGAGAACCATGTATGCCGCCATGGAGAAAAGGGGGGAAATAGATAGATAGACAGATAGTCATACTTACCCCCTACTTGAAAAAAAATGTCTATAGAAGTGCTTAGCAACTTGTTGCACTGCTCACTTTATCAATCAAGTAGCTTTCTTCAGAACAATGTAACTAGTAGTTTGAAAATTTCCTAGTTACTTTGGCCTTTACCTGAAAGTTTCAGCAGCAAGACTGCAGGAAGCACCTCCTGCCAGAGATGGATTATAATCTGCAAGGTCCCATCAGCAAACATCTTAAGAGACCAACTTAACTAGTGACTGTATAGTTACCAGTTTGTTTTGAGAGGCGGTGCTGACAGTGCTACACCCCAATGACTGCATGTAAAGTGAACTCATGGAGGGAACTGAAAGAAGAGTTCAGCACCGGGTGCCTCAGAGGCACAGGCCTCAGTTCAGTTATACAAACTGTTTGGGAGCAGCAGAAGTCAGTGGCAAATTTCATGCTGCTCAGAGCAGCTAGCATAATTTACATGAAATATGAGAAGATTTTAGTAAGTCCTATGCCTATTATGTTCAGGTTCCTTAATGTTCCTGTGCCTTTCTAAAATGCAACACTGCTCATGTGACATTTTAAAAATAGGGAGCAGAAAAAGGCGCTGTTTCTTTATCTCAGTTGTCATCAACAGAATGGGCTTGTTTCCAGTTTCTGTTTGACCAAATAGAGGCAGCAACTAATCTGCTTCTCACTTGCAAAATGTCATTTCAAAACAAATCAATTAGGTCCCACCCATTTCCAGCCATGAAAATTGTACCCCAAGCCATTTGGCTTAACAGGGCTGCTTGTTAGCAAAAGGTCACAGCAACTTCAGAAAAGTCCCAAGTGCAACAGGGACTCTCCCACTAGCATCATCACATGGATTTATCTAAGCAACAGGGACAATGCAGAAAGATACAGTCAGGTTTTAGGGCACAGGAGAAACAAACAAGAATGTAAAAGGGTTAAAGGAGAGAAAGAGAATTCTGGCAGATTTGCACACTGCCGTCATGTTCCATGAAATTAACATTTTGTGCTAGTGGGCAGCCAAGACTGCAACCACAGATTTGCTTTAATCACTGGACAGCTCCTGGGAGAGGCTGAACCCAGATTCCCACCCCTATAATCTGTAGGATCTGATGAAAACAACTTGGATTGAATTAATTCAAGGCTAATAAGCAAATACTGCAGTTCTGTCTCTGCTTTGTGCTGCCAAAGTGAGATGACATTTACTGCATGATCAGACTAATCATGTTCCAAGGGAGAAAAGAGGAAACATGTTTTGCCTTCACCTCCATAGGGTATTTGATTTCTCCCACTAGGTAAACAAACTCCAAAGTGAACAACACATTTTCTGGATTTAGAGGTTCACTGGAACAGTGGACGGAACCAATACCTGAGGCCACCTGGAGAACTGACAAGTGTTAATAATCTGACTGAACACCATCAGAATCTGAGCCAGAGTCTGTTTATACAGCCAACACACTCTTATCTTAGAACACATACTATCCCATCCCCTTGGGTTGCAAAAGATCTGCTGCCTCCAAGTTCTCCTCTGGTACTTCAAGCTATCAATTTAAAGGGTTTTTGCTGTCTAAAGTTTCCATGTTCTAAACCTCCCAATTTCCCAGTGAAAAAAATCTGGTTTTATTTCCAATCATGTAAGAGTGAAATAAATAACAAACCTAAAAGAAGCAAAAATTTAACACCAATATAGCCCTTCAAAGTCTTTTTACTGTAACCCTTACAATCACCCTATAAAGGTGATTAGTATTACTATCCAGTGGAAGCTGAAAGAGTGGCTTCATTAAAGGTCACCCAGTGAATTTATGGCAAAAGGGAGATTCATCAGAGGTCATTAGCAGCTTGTCAAAACAGTTATGCCTGGAATTAACTCTAAATTTTCACTCCAAATTTAGTCTGCAATCCCAAGTCATTGCATTCACATTACAACACCAGATACATATATTGCCTGTCATGTCAAATAGACAATGAGAAAAAAACTGCAGAGAAATGAAAATTTGAATATCTGGAGGTATGTTAAAACATAGACGGCCATATTTTGTAATGTTGCCTCTAAGCCTGCAAATCTATCTATTTCACCTTTCAACAGGAGAATAGCACCAGCTGGGTTCTGAAATGTCAAAATCACACCATCAGTTTAAAACTAACCCTGCTCCGCACATGCTATGAATTGGAGAGGAGTCTGGCAGTGCACTCAAGAGTGAGACTAGGAGGTCACATCTCTGCAGATCTCTATGAAGGTATGGCTTGGAGACCAGCTGCTTGCCAACATGAGAACATAGGAAGAGCCCCCCCCCCTTTACATTACATTTATATACCACCTTTTCCTCCAAGGAGCTCAAGGTGGTGTGCATCATCCTGTTTTCACAGTGGCCAACCAGATGCCTGTGGGAAACATGCAAACAGGACCACAGCACAAGAGCAATCTCTTCTCTTATGGTTTGCAGCATCAGCATGAGAGTTTGCAACTCCTTGGAAGCAACACTACTACAGTGGGCTTGTCTCTGTTCAGCTCAGGCAAGTATAGCAGAGCACTTTCCCCACCCAAGAACTTCTGGATTGAACATCAACCTTGACATGGCTGGCTGATTTATTAAAAGGGAGTAATCCAAAGAGACTCATTAGTGGAAAGGATAATACTTTGAACAAAAAACATATTACTGAATCATGGCACATGTCTGCAGAAGCAGCAAGTCTTTACGCCTTAGCCCATAAAGTAGAGGAAATACTATTTGTCACCCTGTGAAGTTTGGTCCAAATACAATCTAGCCCCTGAATGGGAAACTAACAGGAGGAACACACACGACAGATGCAAACACAAAAACTTATCTATACATAACCAGTTAGGATTTTACAAAAAGAATTATGTTTAAAGCCATAATCTTTGAGGATTCAGCAGCATTAATTAACATGGTCAAGAGCTGGTATTCCATGCTAAGATGGAATCTACTGAAAATTCAGCTACAAGAGATCCTATACTGTTGTTGGCATCTGTCTGTCTTAGGAGACAGTGGAGGAGTGCGCCTTTGGGGGTGAGGTCAAGCTGTTGGAAGGTTGCAGAGCCTGCTGTGGCTGTAGAGACCAATGTGGGAGAGACATGTTTTGTTGCAGCTGGAGGAGATGAAGGCGTCCAGTTGTGCTATTGCCATGGCATTTCTTCTCTCTGTACTCCTCCCACTGGTCATTCCTCCTCTGGTCACTGCTATGGATACACAATTTGACTGCCTTTCTCTAGGCACTGCAGTCACCTGAAAGGGATTCCCACATGGCAAGGTTGGTGTTGCCAGCCTTTAAGTCACATTTGCAGACACCTTTGTGTTGGTCTGCCAATGTGCCTGGTGCCTGAAGCCAGCTCCTTGTAGAGACACGTCCTTGTGGATCCTGCCATCTTCCATTCTGTGGACATGACCAAGCCAACGTATATGTTGCCGAGACGGGAATGTGAAGATGTGGGCTTGGGTGAGCACATCTTTGTCTGGAATTCTGTCCTGCCATGTGACACCCCATATCCCCCTGCTGTAGCGCATGTGGAAGGCATTGAGCTGCTGCTCCCGATAGTTGTAAGTTGCTCACGACTCACTTCCATAAAGCAGCACACTCAACATGAAAGCCTGGTTCCAATACTAAATCTTCAGAGTAACTGAAAAAATGTTTGGCCAGCAAAGGGGGTTCAGTAGTTGTTGAGGGTCAATCAACAATGCTTCCTAATATACCCTAGTTGTCAACTCAGCACACTGATGGTTACTTTGGGATCCTCTCAGTCACCCTTAGCAACGACACAGCCATCTTCTATTGTTCAAACCTATATTAATTATTAAAGACAAGAAGATCACCTTCCCTAATATTATTTTTCCATGTAAGGCAGGCCGATTTGACAAAATAGACAGGAGTTATGTGTCTGGACATGAGATGAAGCTCACCAGACAACCTTGGCCAATTCATTATCGCAGCCTAAAAGTGCCTTACAGGATTGTTGTGAGGATGAGTTAAGAACTGTATACTGTTCTTAATAACAGTGGATGCCAAAAAATGGCTTGACAGTACTGGGTAAAAAGCAGGCCTGCCAGATGTCTCTTGTTTTAAGGGAATGCCTTGTATTATCAGAATGCACAGACATAAAAAATAATGGGTTCTCTTAGGACAGACACTTCTCCCTTATTTTTGTCTTACTAACCTGTAAGTGCAGTAGGAGGCAAAGAATTTTTTGGAACTAACTGTGGCCTACAATATCAGATCAGCTGCTCTGCAGTGATGTTTGTGTACTTTGCTTTACAATTGTTTTGAATTATCTGTTCATTTAACATTATGTTCTTCGAGATAATACACTTGATCTGAGCTTCTCAAAAGCAAATAGCAGCTTCAGAGAAGCTATTTTTGTTGGGCCTATGACAGGGGAAGAAGAGGGTAAATTTTCCCCACCCCCAACAGCCCCAGTGCTGACATAACTCCATACAACTACTATTTGCAGCTTACAACAAAATACATGTGACATTAAGCCATGTGTTTAAGGTCATATAGTGCCTGGCCTTAACACTTTCCATGCGGCAAATGTCATGATCACTTCCTAAACTTTTGATTTTGGCCTGTCATTTTCCATTATTTTCACGCAAGCCTCCTCAGCCCTTTGAGAGTTTCTAAAAATGACTCTGGAGCAGTATCTTAGCAAAACCCCTTGGGATGCATGTATTCCAGACTTGCTAATTAACTCCATGTCTCTACTGTTTCCTTACCTGCTTTCTTGAAAGCTCATTCAACAAGGCCATCACCACTAAATTGTTTATCGCTCCTTTTCAATTCCTTATTTTTCTTGTTTCCCCCTCTTTATTAGTGAGCCAGCCATCTCACAAACCATTTATTTTCCTCCAGATGCATTTCTGTCTCTAGTCTATTAATCCAATTGACATTAGCTTATTCTGCAGCTATGGCTTCCTTATCTTTAATGGTGTGCTCTTGTCTGGTTCTCTTCCTTTCCATTTCCAGCATGGTATTGCCTGCCCCTTGTCTATTCCAGACTTGGAATAACCTTTGGAAAAGCAACTTCTGAGAGTGCAAACATTGTTGCTCATATTCAATGGTACTTTCATTTGCTTATTTTTCTCTCTTTTTGTATTGTGTCTATTATACTCCAAGCCAGTATTGGTTAAAGTACTGGTGGAAAGGTGATGTGCAAACATAGCAATGACAGCTACTTAAGTGTGCATAGCTGCAAATCAGGGAAACAAGTGTCCCACTGGTATGTGAATGGCATGGAAGGACGTGGAATACCAGTTTTATCTATATTATGGACAGCAGACTGAACAGGGTTGATGGTATCAAAAGCCACTGGGATATGAAGCAGAATTAGCAAGGTTACACTTCCCTTGTCCCTCTCCCAATAAAGGTCATCTATCAGCGTAACCAAGGCCGGTTTGATGCCAAACCCAGGACTGAACCAAGAATTAAATTGGTCTATATCAGGGCAGCCCAACTTTGCATACCAAGTGGGCCGCAAGAGTACTTTGACAAAGTACCTGTGGGCCGCACACTGCTTGGGGGGTGGGCGAGCGAAGCCAAAATTTGATGTCCCCCCCAAGCCCTCTCATTGCCTTCCCAAAGCTGGCAAAGCGAGGCACAGGCTTTGGGAAGGAGGTGTGAGGCTCTGGCAGGGTCCTAGAGCCTTCCCATCTCCTCCCCAAACCACAGTGCATAACTTATCCAGCTTTCAGAAAGCTGTGCAAAGGCTTGGGGGGGGGAGGGTTAAGTGTTGCTGTGGGCCGCCAAAAAAAGGCCTAGAGATACCCGATGGACCACCCTAGTCTAGATAATGTTTCATCCAGAATGCCCGCAGCTGCTCTGCCATGACCCTCTCACCCATCTTCCCAAGGAAAGCAACTGGTCAGTAACTATCCTAAATGAGGGAGTCCGGGGTGTTAAAAAATAAATAAATGAGCAAGTGTTCCACCACCTCTTTCAAGCCAGCAGGCACCACCACTGTGTAACATCACATTCACCATACTTGGACCCACCCAGTCATGCCTTGCCACATAGATTTTATTAAACATGAACAACCAGGGATTGAGAGAACATGTGGTTGGACAAACAGCTCTAAGTACCTTGTCAACACTCTCAGGCCACATCAACTGAAACTGATCTCATAAAACTTGGCTAGACGTGGTGTTGGACATCTCACAGTTCTACACTAACTATGGCATCAAGGCTGCTACTGAGCCAAGCAATTTCACCCTCAAATTGTCTCAAGAAATATGTCATAGTGGGCCTCCAAAGGGTCCAGGAAAAGTCCCTCAGGAGCCTGTAACCTCTGAACCACTGAAGAGTAATTTATTCTGCTAAGAAACAGGAGAGTTGAGAGAGTAACATATAGTAGTATCTGGTAGCTACATGCAATTTTTAAGCCTTGAAAATACACTACAGTTCCTGAAGCTGTACTCACCTCGTAAGAATACTTGTGCTTTAGGTTCCAGCGACAGATAGGACACTGACCAGAAGGATTTGGAGGAGTCGGGGCTTCCTCAACTTCCAGCATTTTACCTTCAATCTAGGAAAGAGAGGGCAGATGGAGGGGAAGATTTAGATTTCAGACTTCCAATATATATTGTACTGCTTAATTTCCAACAAGTGTTACCCCCCCCCAAAAAAAACCTTAAGGAAACTTAAGGAAAGGGTTAACTGGTATTAGCTACTGGCAATCCAGAATACGACAAAGAATGGACTTGATGACAAACGCAGCAGAGAGTGCAGTTTAAGCACGCACGCACACACACACACGAGATTTCAGCACTTTTGCAAATGTCAACAAACTCAAGAATATTAGTCAACTACTTACAAGGAAGATTCCAATTTACTGTGTAGCAATAAATTCATAAATGGGCATGGCTCCCTCTAAAAGACACAAACTGCACCTCCCTGGCCATGAATAATAAGACATACTTTTGAAATTGCCGCTTTGAGGATATCAGCAAACATGGGCTCTTAAGTTGCATAAGCCTGGAGTAGACTCTTTTTAAAAAATCGGCAGCAGGACAGAGACACTTCTTCCATTGGTCAAAACTGCAGGAATGTTTATGAAAACTGGGGTGGCTCTCCACAGCACTCTTTCCTAAAGTGTAGTCTGAATTTAGCTTTAAATTGCTCAAACTGATGAAATTGATAGCATTTCCCTTGGGGAAGTATTTAACAACTTAGCCTATCTGACAAGAAGCATTTCCTGCCAAGCAGCTCATGTATTCCTTTTCTTTAAGCAGACCACGACAAGTTTTTAAAAACAAACCAACTCCAGACCTCTCTCATTTGATGCAGCCAGAACCAGGGAGTTCTTTTTTAAATATACAGCTGCAGTCAGAACTCATCAATTTAAAACTATCCTGAAGAAAATTCAATTTAGATGCAGTAGGCCTGACAGCTACAAACTTGGGCAGGCTATACATATTCCAAATGGCCAATTTTGTAAATGTTCAGGCTTTACTATTGATATTTACATGCTATGATATAAAGCCATTATTCATATTCACTATTTATGGTAGTATTCTCAACCAGTAAAAGAACTAAATGGTATATGCTATTTGTTTCACATAGTTGTGATTTGGGGCGGGGGGGGGGGGCAGAAGAGACGTTCCTCCTTCAGTCAGGGAAGGAACACGACTAAATGTTTTTCCTATAAGATCATTATTCACACAACAGAAATCTACACAGATTTGAAGAGCAGCATGTATATTATGTGAAACGATTCAGAGAGCTGCATCAATCTATGGCAAAAGAAATATCAGAAGACGCTTTAAAAATTGGCTTTTAGAAAGTAGCCTGACAGTTGAGCTTTACATCTCAATATTTTCTATTTGCAACTCTTTCCAGAGTCTCTCTGAATGAGAACTGTAAAGCTTGAAACCTGTGACACCAGAGCAAGTCTTCAACAGCACCTTTTGGAATATTTCCTCGTGTTAACTGTCCTTTTTTGTAATGATAAATCTAAAGCTTGTTTATATCTATGTTTAAAGCAAAAAAAGTACATAGTTTGGGAATCAACAATACTCAAACAAAGTCACTCTTCTATAGAAGGATGGCCATCTTGAAATCATTTATCGTGAAGGAACAGAATAATTCTTTTTTGGAGATGTTAAAACCTGTATCCTTTTACTGTAACTTATTATTTTGAAATGAATATAGCTGGGTCACAAGTACACCAAATTGATTTAACATGGTTAGTAGTACACAAGAAGTATATTAAAGATGTATATTAACATCACCTGGCTCAAAAACAGCCTAACAATTCAGATAGCAAAATGTTTTATTACACCACTCAAAATGTAACATGAGTTATTCTGGAAAGGCCCAAAGATCAAAGCTAATGTTCATGCCCCCACCACGAGTATCTTCACAGAGCTTCACTAAGTGCTGGCTAGAGGTACATGCACCTTTCTCCCCCAAGATTTTGGCTTTATTTATTTCCCCAACCAGACATTTATGATGCTAAAGAGAAGAGCAAAATGTTCCAGAAAGCATATTCAGATCACACTTATAAAATCAAGAGAAAATTAAAATCAAACGAATGACCTCACTTTTTAAGCATATTTAATTTCATCTGTGCTACATCTTTAACATCGCAGAGTATTCTTTTCCCCATGAGAACATTCACCCTTCATCAAAGCACAGATGGGGATTTTCAGTGAACTATCCCTCATTATTCTTGAGGATGCTAGGGGAATCTTCACCATTCAGTACTGAATATTGATGGTCTATCAACTACAGCAGTCTTGGGAATTCTTCATATCTAGAGTGTTTTTGCTTGCCTTCTCCCAAAATAACCTTTGCTTGCAGAGAACATTGCATTTTAAGCAAAAATCCAACACCCAAAGCACCACATGATGCATTTTTATTCTGTAGCGCTGTGAGGTCTCCGTTTCTTCCCAGAGAAGATGTCTCTGTTAGAAAACCTCCCTATACCCAGGAATGATGTCAGCATATGAAGCAGTATTATCATAATATCATAAACATTTTAAGATGTGTTTTCCCCCAAGTGCACCTCAAGTGGGGAAATTCATTCCTTCTGTTTACTGACCGAGAATGTAGGGAAATGTCTCCCACCCAAAACCTCAAAGTATACAAGATACTTAAGGCTGTCTAATTTCTGCTTGTAACTTACAAAGATATTCTGGAAAGCTAATGATTAGGTTTTTCTTGGCTGTATTATCACAGGCAGAGTTTCATAAATTATTCCTCCCACTTTCACTTGTTTGAGGAAATCTCATGGGCTAGGATTAACCTAAAATTTCCAAGTTCAACTAGCATTCCTCCACCAATTTACTTGTGAAGAATTTTATACATTGCCCTTCACCAGAAAAAGATTCTATGATTTGTAGAAAAGAATCAATAAAAACCTAAAGTACAAATCAGCATAAAAAAAATCAAAACACTAATGAAAAGCAGCAGACTGAGATTTAAAAATCTGTAAGTGTCTGGGAAAATAAAAGGAGGTTTTCCTGATGCCTAAAGAACTATCAAGGCTGTGGTATGCTAATGCTAGAAGACTGTATTCTCCTATTAGTATCTTTATATTTAATAATAAAAGCCACAATTCAGCAAACATTTGTTCTGACTTAGTCCCTTGAAAGCAATGGAACCAAACCAAGCTCCATTCCATTGCTTTCTTGGGGCCTAATCATGACAAACATCTGGTGGACCATTCAAATTCCAACCAGATAATAAATACTGCCAGAGGAGTAAAAATAATCTGTAGAGATAACATACTTTGGGCAACATAATCACTGTAGGGATAACCTGGTATTTAACTTTTGGAAGGAGATCCGGGGTGAGACCAGATGAAGAAATGAAATAGAACAGGGGACTAGGAAGAGAGGCCACAGCACTAGTATGTAATTCATTTTGTGAGCTTTGGGCACATTTTTGGGGAGAAGTAAAATACAACTTGATAATCTACTACATATTTTGGAAAGTTGCCTATTTGTTTGCTTTGCATTTGTACACCTCTGAAGGTATCGTAACCAAATTTTGCATTAAGGTTCCTGAAATCAAGAAGCAGGTTTTCATCTATGTTTGGATACAACTGAATGCCATTTTGAATCAAGATAATGGACTAAAACTTTCAAAGCTACACTAATTTGTTTGTTTGTTACAATTCCTGAGCAATGCTGGGGATAAGGCTTTTGCTTTTGTTATTAATATTTCTCCTACTAATAGTCACTATGGTAGGCCTTCTAACACACTTGTTCACTCTTCCAAGACAGTGTTTATTAAGCAGTAAGGCTCAGCCTAGTGAATACCATATTTATAGTCTCATATAGCTTTCAGAATTAAAAATTCTATGCCACTGTGCTTATTAAACTAAACTCCTATTTTTTGGCTTTTATTCATAGTACATTTGGTTGATGTTCAAGTCGGGTGCTACTTGTCCCTTTGGGAAAAAAATTAAAAGGAAATTCCAATAAATTTAAGCACAGTAAGACTTATATGGGCACATATAGACACTATATTGTGCATGCTTAATTTCCATTCAGAATAAAAAGTTTCAAAAATATCAATGAATGGAGAGATTTCTTAAACCCTTTTCATATTACTTCATGGTGTGGGAGCCACTGCAGCATGACTTCTTCCTGCACCATGAAGTCAAAAAGCTGAAGCAGCAGCTTCCACGTACTGTTATGGTAACTTTGGGCTCTTTTGAGTATGCATAACTGCAGGCATTCCTAACCTCTGCATACACCTCTAATTTCTCACAAATTTCTTTCACTGATGCAATGGGCACTAGAAAATTTTGAATAGGGTTCAGGAGATGAAAAGGTCACCTGTTTACTCTCTTCAGGAGAATCACTGTATTCAAGAAAAGAGGCCTAAACTTACATTGGTTACATGATGGAAATTATTCAGTTGCATTTTTCTGTACAAACACAGTTGCTGCATTACAAAGACAAGGATTTGAGACTTAAAAAATAAGTCAGTTATTGTACTTACAATAGTGGTGTTTCCTTCAGTAGTTTCTACAACTGCAGGTACAGGAAAAAAAGACAGGATGTCAGATTCATTCAAATACAATTATATGCATTCTTGTTCAGTACAGAAATTGTGCCTATGAAACACTGAGAGGAATGCTGTTAAAAAACTGCTATGACACTGACAGCAAATAAGCATTTCACTAAAACTGAGATAGAGGTATTTCACTTAGTGCAGGTAGAGACAGATGACATTAAGTATTTGTTTTTACTGTCTGCCGTCATAAAACCATCTCCCTAATACTGCTCCCAAAAACTACAGAAAACCTTATTAACTCTTAAGGATGGTGCAATAAAAAATAACGCTAGCCTGTACTGAGGGATTATTCTGCCTTGTTTTACAGATTATTGAAATAACATTTTCATATGCATTATAACTTCTCACCGGGAACCATTTCAGAACTGCTTATGGCAAAAAGCAGCCTAGCCCTGTTGTCCCTCTGTAAGGCTTTGGGCCACAGAGATAGCATTAGTATTTGTGCTCTCTCGAATATCAGAGGGCCATACCTCTTCCTTTCAGAGGACCTTCTACTGTGTAACTCCCTAAATACTCCCTGACAAGGAAGCTAAAAGCAACCTAATACTAGAGTTGGAGCCTTTTTCGAATATGGCTCATGTGCTCTTGACTGCTAGATATCCTAGCTTTTCCTAACCTTTTTATTCTAACTTTCCTGGTCTTGCTTGGACCATTTCCTATCAAGGTTCACTCACAGTAGCTACTCCCCTCTGCAGGGATGAGGGAGTTGGTGACCCACTCCAAAAGGCTAATGAAATAAACATAATTTTCAAGGATGCTTCTGGATTTTCTGTTGGCATAACTGACTTTCCTGTCAATGCTTTGGTCACTCTGTGGAAAGTGGGGATGACTTGGGCCAGGAGCTGACACAATCACACCTAAGTGCCATTTTCTGCTGAGCAGATCCATGTCAACTTGTTAAGGTTCTGGGGAGTTGAGGACACTGAATCAAATAGGAAGGTATCTATAGTGCAAGCAGGAAGAGATTCACTGGGAATCTGACTGAACACTAATGGAGTGCTCATTTTTGAGCCTGCATGGTAGATGTGATGTCAGCAATGCAACAGCTCTTTTCCATAACCACTGCATCCTCACAGTGCTGGGTGGTTCAGGGCCTTTTGGAATCTGTTGCTTGTCATGCAGGTTTTAAGTATAGCCACAATATTAAAACAGAACCTCCAGGTTTAGAGGCAATAATCAACTGAATACCAGAAGCTGGGACAAATAATTCTGGTGGTGGGAGAGCTATTGCCTTTAAGTCTTGCTTTTGAGATTCCCAGATCATCTGGCAGGTGTGGTTGCTTATTAACCAGGGGGAAAAACAAGTTCATTATTCTTTCAACTTTTCCAGGCTAATTGCCAAAAAGTAAGGGTCAAGGCTGCTTTTATCTCACTTGTTTTGTTTATTTTCTTTTTTTAAGAAAAGGTGTACACTTTTAACTAAATAGTCAGTTCTGTATTATATTACATTTATAGACCGACCATAAAAATAAATGCTGGAGCCCGCCCTCAAATCCACCATGCCTCTGGCTCTAAATTTCTCATTCAAGGCTAGAAAACCCTACTACCAGGTAACCAGCATTAACAGACCTGACAGAATTCTCATATGCCTTTTATTCTTTTACAGGACTCTTGGCACTCTTGAACACAATAATTCAGTGTTGCTCAGTGCAACATAGTAATAGTTCCTGCTGTGACTAACAAGTTCCTGAGAGATACAATGTGCTGGAGAAGGTTTATTTTGCTTCTGTTTAGCTGTTGCTCCAACTACAGACAGAGTTCTGATTGCACCATCAGCAACTGCCCCATAGCAGCGAAGAATGGGACTCCCTTGCCTCTGTCTCATCCTAGGCAGAGAGGATTATACTATACACACAACAATCAAAAAATGTGCAATCTGTATACAAGAAGCATACAGTCTTGCATACACAATAGTTCAACTATATAAATCAACAAGCGTACATTTTTTCACACAAATACCTGTAGGTGTGTAGACAGTTTGTACCTGTATTTGGCATAACTGGTGAATAAGCCTGAAATGAAACCTGAAGTGAAGAATAATGGTGTTCCCAACCCGCCAAAGCAAAGAGCAGAAAATGATACAAAAAGGGGAAAACACTAGACTAACAAATGATCTACCTGGGGTCACTGGTGCTTGTGATAAAAATGAGGGGTGCAGGACACGAGAATTCTGAACAGCAAACTAGAATTTTGGGACTCTGAAAGGATTCCGACTTGATAAACTAAAAACAGGATGCTTGACTAAATCTGCCATCCAATGCACCCACCTGGGAGTAAGACCCAGATCATGAGACCCTTAATCTCAGGGTTGCGGGTTCGAGCCCCAGGTTGGGCAAGATTCATGCATTGCAGGGGGCTGGACTAGATGACCCTTGTGGTCCCTCTTCCAACTCTTACAATTCTATGAACTTAAGCGGGGCTTACTTCCAAGCAAACACGCACAGAGCGGCACAGTACAGGTGGATCCTCACTCTGCCCCTTCCACGTCCAAAGGAGACGTGCCCGAAGAAGCTGCCCTTTCAAGCCTTAGCGCCTGCTACCTAGCAAGGGACCATGGCCACCTCCTCCGAAAGGATGACTAACCAAGTAACTGTCCTTTATTATGGTCGTGTTATTATACTCCCAGCCGGCCTCGTAGCCCCGACTTGAGCGAGAGGGATGGGGGATGGGGAGGGGGGAAACACCGCGGCTCAAGTTGTTTATTCTTCCCCTCCTCGGCGGTTACCGGAAAACGAGCCGGCTCCGGCCATCCAGGAGCTGACGGGAAGGCGCCTCTCTCGCCGTTTCCCTACCTCAGCCCCTCGGCTCCCCTCCCCGCTGCAGCCGGGAGAGAGAGAGCAGGAGCCGTTGGCACTCACCCTGCCTCAATCCGCGAGACGGGGCGCGAGCCCAGCCCCCCCACAAGAGCCCAGACACCAGCCGCCTGCAGCCGGAGAGCAGCGACATGGACGCAGCCATCTTGGCAGCCCTCCGACGGCTTCCGCTTCCAGGTTTCATTGGCTGGCGCGAGAACGCGCGCGGGGTGGGGGGGGAGCCGCTTTCTTCCTCGCCCGCCCCGCCTCCTGTGGCGGGAAAAAGCGAAAGGCGTTGAAGTGCCGCCATTTTGGTATCCAAAGCGGGGATGGGGGTGGGGGCGGACGGGGGCGCGAGGATGGGATGTGCTTGGGCTACGCCTGGTACACGCTTGTTATTGGTTGTTATGGCAGATTTGAAATTTCCTTTTTCCTTTTAGTAATAGATTAAAAAACCCAACATTGTCAGCTGAAATTTAGGTTACCAAAGCGCACTTTTCTTTCGATTTTTTTTTAAAAAGGTCATTTTATACACTGAGCTATATAAGCTGTTTTTAATATTGGGTTCTAATGCTTTAATATGCCTGTTGTCTTTGTCCATGGAGTTTTCTTGGCAGGGATACTGGAGTGGCTTGCCGGTTCCTACTCCAGGAGGATCACGGTTGGTCAAAACTCTCCACTATGCCCTGTCCGTCTTGGGTGGCCCTGCAAGGCATAGCTCATAGCTTCTCTGAGTTATTCAAGCCCCTTTGAGAGCTGGACCATAAAGAAGGCTGATTGCCGAAGCATTGATGCTTTTGAATTATGGTGCTGGAGGAGACTCTTGAGAGTCCCATGGACTGCAAGAAGATCAAACGCATCCATTCTTAAGGAAATCAGCCCTGAGTGCTCACTGGAAGGACAGATCCTGAAGCTGAGGCTCCAATACTTTGGCCACCTCATGAGAAGAGAAGACTCTCTGGAAAAGACCCTGATGTTGGGAAAGATGGAGGGCACAAGGAGAAGGGGACGACAGAGAACAAGATGGTTGGACAGTGTTCTTGAAGCTACGAACATGAGTTTGACCAAGCTGCAGGAGGCAGTGGAAGACAGGAGTGCCTGGCGTGCTCTGGTCCATGGGGCCACGAAGAGTCAGACATGACTAAACAACTAAACAACAACAATGCTTTAATCTGCCCTGGGACTGTAGGATGAAGAGTGGGTAATTAATCATCATCATCATAACCCATCCTGGCACTTTAGAATGAAGAGTGGGTAAACAACAACAACAACAACCACCCATCCTGGCACTGTAGGATGAAGAGTGGGCAATTAATACTACTACTAACCCATCCTGGCACTATAGGATGAAGAGTAGGGAAAATACCAACAGCAGCAGCAGCAGCAGCAACAACAACCCATCCTGGCACTGTAGGATGAAGAGTGGGTAATTAATAATAATATTGTACAAATCTTTTTCAGTACCCTAAAGTATTGGGAGGATGAGATATAGGCGCCTTCCCTTTGCTTAATCACTAGTTTTACTGGGGTACAATGCCAGCCTCTGCTAAAAGAATTTGAGTGGTGCTGGTTAGCTGCTTAGCTGCATTCAGGGGATTGGTAGTGGTGTGCAAAGCCCTGGGCAATTTGGGAACAGAATACCTAAAATATTGTTTCAGCCATTGTATATCCAGCTGAGCTTCCTACAGGTATTGCCACAACAAGAGCTCTATGATGTACAAATCAGGCCTTCATTGTGGTGGCACCTGCCCTTTGGGACTCCCTCTTGCTGCACATCAGACAGATGCTGTCTCTTTTATCTTTTTGGTGCTCACTGAAGACCTTCCTCTTCCAACAAGACTTTTAAGAAGATTTATATCCCAGCCTTTTTTCTTTATTGTATTTTTAAAAATATTTTCATTGCAGATGATTTTATTGTAAATCATCCTGGGGTGTTTTATGGGAAGTGATTCATAAATTAATGAATCACATAAGAAATGACACTCTGAAATAGCTAACCTTGTAGAAAAATACGAGTGCAAAGTTATTTGCATTGCTATTTGTGAATGAAGTATCTCAAGTGAACTTGTTTCATGTTGCACGGACATTACCGCAACAACCTTGTGGCATTTACCCTTATAGGCTGTGGTGTAATTTCTCTTAAGTGCAGGAAGTAAGTCCCATTGAACTCATACAGAGTTCCCTGAACTGTCATAAATTCATATACAAATACACAGTTCATTGAACTGTCAACCACTAACCTTTTACAGGCTGTTACTTGGAACATACATGTTTATTTAGCAAAATGTATACACCACTTGATTGTAACAAAATATCCAAGCAGTTTACAAGAAATATTAAATTGTCAGGAAAACAGTTAAAAACAAATAATGAAGAACATTTTAAAACAAAATCAGCAGTAAACTAAAAAGGGACATGTCTCTATAAAAGGTAAAGGTAAAGGACCCCTGACAGTTAAGTCCAGTCGCAGACGACTCTGGGGTTGTGGAGTTCATCTTGCTTTTAAAGGCCGAGGTAGCTGGTGTTTGTCTGCAGACAGTTTTTCCGGGTCATGTGGCCAGCATGACTAAGCCGCTTCTGGCGAAACCAGAGCAGTGCACGGAAACGCCGTTTACCTTCCCACCGGAGCAGTACCTATATATCTACTTGCACTTTTGGCGTGCTTTCGAACTGCTAGGTTGGCAGGAGCAGGGACCGAGCAACAGGAGCTCACCCTGTCACGGGGATTCAAACCGCCGACCTTCTGATCGGCATGCCCAAGAGGCTCAGTGGTTTAGACCACAGCGCCACCTTGCCTAAACAAAAATGTTCCAAGCAGGCGCCAAAAAGAATACAGAGAAGGTGCTGACCTGATGTCAATAGGCAGGAAGTTCCGAAGTGTAGATGTTGCTACTCTGTAGCAAAGGGAAGTGCCACTGCTGTGGCTGCTGCAGTGGCAGTAGTGGCATCTTCCACTGCTGCCATCCTTGTTGAGAAAGGGGCCTGCAGTGAAGCAGGTTTGCTGCTGCTGCTCACCAACTGCAGTGAGATTGCTCTGGACGGTGCAGACAAGTTTGACCCCTTCCTGCTGCGGAGTTGGTGAGGCATGCAGCTGTAGCTGTCATGGCAGCTGTGGGTGGAAGACAGGAGGCTGTGAAGAGCACCTGACCTCAGCACAGCTGCAGGATCCACCCTACTTAGCCCATCCGTGCCATGCTGTGACTTCCTTCTTCCCCCCCAACCCCTACCTCAGCTGTATGACACTAGTCCTGAAAAGTGGACCTCTCCACCTTTTCCAACAGGAGGAGCATCAGCTCATAGGAGACAAGCAGATCAGCACTGGACACACACACACTGCCCCATGCATCTACTAGAAGTGCATCTGGGTCCTAATAGATCATTGCTTCTATTTTGTCTTTTGTAATACAGTGGTACCTCGGGTTACAGACTCAGTTCGTTCCAGAGGTCCGTTCTTAACCCGAAACCGTTCTTAACCTGAGGCGCACTTTTGCTAATGGGGCTTACTGCTGCCGGCACGCTGTTGGCGCACGATTTCTGTTCTCATCCTGGGGCAAAGTTCTCAACCCGAGGTACTACTTCCGGGTTAGTGGAGTTTGTAACCCGAAGTGTTTGTAACCTGAGGTGTTTGTAACCCAAGGTACCGCTGTACTTAAAAAATGTTATCTGTGTGAAGTATTAAAATGGCTATTCTTCAGGGTCTAGCCTTCATCTCAGAAAATCATGAAATTAAATATTTGAATGGAAGGCAAATGCATCTTTATCTCAGTGGACTGGCAGAGACAGGAAGACAAAAAGCAGTTTTTGACATAGCTAAAAGCTTGTTTGAGAAAAGGCTTCATGCTCCATTTGAACGCATGTTCCTTTTGCCCCAGTTAAACAGGTTTTTAAAACAATACAGAAACCAGTTTATGCAACGGAAATGTGGGATAAATGTACACACCAGAAAATGCCATCTGACTGTTGGACAGTTTTCAGCTTTCTGTCCACAACCAAAATGTCAGTGCATTCCTTTCCTTCCAGCTCCTCACAATCACCTACTATCTAAATTACCGTACCTACGTTGCTAAATGTTTTTATTTAGCTGCAGTTATTCTGTCATTAAGTATGACCAATCCACTGAAATGAAATAATCTAGATTGTTTAAACTCTTGTTAGTGAGCCAGCATGAAGGACTTTGGACCAAAGGTAGGTCCATATATTACAAATACTCGAGCAATGTAATGTTTCCTCTGAAGTATTCTTTGCTGGACACTTTGGAGAAAGGACAATGAAGTAAATTGGCCTGTGATCAAATCCAAAAAGTAGCACCAATCTTCTTCATTTAATGGCATCTAGTGGCAATTCATACTTTCCAGAAGTGACCAGGCAAGTGGCGACCTGTCAGGCTAGTCTATGCAAAAATGTAATTTCTTTTCTTTTATACATAAATAACATTTCCCTCCTAAAGATGCATTAATTAATCTCGATCCATACCTTATGTAATGCCACCTGATTTAATGCAAATTAACTGTTCTCAAAGCAAATTGGAATCAGAGAACAGCCTGAACATTTGTTTCTCATGTTTTCTTTCCTTATCTGATCAGACAGCATTTTCTGTCGTGATTGTTAAGTGTAGCTAATTCAATCCCAAGGCTACAAACTGTGTGCCAGCTTGGACAGAAAGCCTTAATATTTTTTGCAGGCCAACCATATCTTTGATTCTTCCCTGTTCTTCTGTATTTGGAAAGATTATAAGATTTGGTCCAAAAGTTTTTCGTTGAAGGAGAAAGGGGAGAAAAATAATGCTAGAAACTACTTGTGTGTTGCAAGAAAAGAGTGTTCATCTCTCTACAGAAGGGGTGGCCAACCCATGTTCCATGGGCCGCATGCGATCCCCCATAGGTTTTGTGGTGCTTCCCCAGGACCCCTCCAAAATGTGTAATTTCTCAAAATAATTAATTTTAAAATTATTTTTAGCAAATCCTTTGTTTCCCTTGATGTGATGCTATGATGTCAAAAGGTTTTTTTTTTGTAGACCCTCAAGAGCACCCCAATTTTTTAAAAAGTTTCAAAAAAATTTACATTTTTTCTTGATTTCTCCCATAGGTCCCCCACTGTGATGCCAAAATAGTTTTTGTATCCACCAAGGCCTCTTGTGCCTCATTTGCTTTGATTGTTTGCTCTTTTTTTGCTGACCGCTCTTGTGGGTTCGCTGCTGCAATTATGTGCTGCCAAAGAGTTTTTGTAACTGCCCCGCCCCCCCAAAAAGTGTATTTCAAAAATGACTACACTCACTTTTACACTTTGGACCTGCAAAGTTTGACATAAGGGAATTTTATTATTGATTTTTAAATAAATTTAAAGCAAAAAAGAATAAAGAGAATATGAGAGATGGAGAAAAAAAAAGGAAAGACACCCTCTCATTAAAAATATAATAACCTTTGATACATCCACACAAAGAATGGTTTCAAATGTAAGAAGGGCAGTGAGGCCCTTGGACCATTGCAGAATACAGTGGTACCTCGGGATACAGATGCTTCAGTTTGCAGACACTTCAGGTTACAGACTCCGCTAACCCAGAAATAGTACCTCGGGTTAAGAACTTTGCTTCAGGATGAGAACAGAAATCGCACGGCAGCAGTGGGAGGCCCCATTAGCTAAAGTGGTGCTTCAGGTTAAGAACAGTTTCAGGTTAAGAACAGACCTGCAGAACAAATTAAGTTCTTAACCTGAGGTACCACTGTAGATGGTTCAAAGATATTTCAACGTGAGGATTGACCATGGTTCATGTGACACTTGATATACGATGGTCAATTTTTAGCTTTATAAGCCAAACTGAAACTGAAACTTTGGAAATAGGGGCTGTGTCTTGAAGGAAACAGGCAGCACTTGCTTGCAATACCCCCCCCCCCCCGGTATTATAGAGTAGGCAGGCTCCATTTTGTCCTGTTTCGGAAGAAGCAAAGTGGAGCAATTATTACTGTGATTTGAATATTCAAGAAAAGGGGCTTTCTCTCCATCTTGACTTACTCTTTTCCTTGTTCGTCACTTCATGTTATGCCTGCCTGCTTCCAGTCACAGAGGAAATGTTCAGGCTCCCATTCCCCTCCCTGCCCGTGGCCTGCCAATGCTAATGAATGGCATGTGTCTGCCTTGCAGGGTACCTTCATCCAAACTGCAGATCTATTTCACTGGTGGGCTGGTAGCGTTTTAGACAATTCCTAATTAAAGAACTAGAGAAAGGAGATGGAAAAACCTATTAGGTCATCCAGTTCCCACACAGTAATGCCCTATTCAGGTTTGTTCCCCACAGGACATTTTCTTCTCCTTTCCAGAGGGGGCACTACAGGTCAGACTCAGTGCTATTTTTATTAAACAGTCCTCCCAGATTTAAGAAACTTCAGGAAATTTCAGCAGCAAGTTGGCTGCTGGATTATTACAGTCTACATTTTTGAAGTCATAACTATTAATTCTTTGTGGCACTGGGAGATACCTTGGGGCAAAAAAACCACCCACATTATAGTTAGATCTACAGCCTCTCACAAAATGAAACTGGAAGACACAGGCTATAATCCTAAACCAACTTTCTGGCACAAACTCTATTCCCTGCTTTGAAAAGCCTTGACAAATCTGATTGCCAGTGGCAACTGCTTCTATCAACTGCACCTGCCCTGACAAAAATACTGAGCAGCACGCAGATCCCCACTTCCTTCACGATTTTGCAAATTGGAGAGAATTTGCAGGTCTCATGCGCACCTTTAGGACAGGCAGAATAGCTCCCTTTTGAGTTCTCTGGCGTGAACTTGGGGGATAGGTGGGGATCTCTCAATTCCTGCTGAGCTTCGGAGGTGTTTCCACCTGTCTCTTTACTTACTGGAATATTTATAATCCACACTTTGATTACAGCATATAAAGGCGGGACACATCACACAAAATATAATTAAAAAAAGGCATCCATTAAAACATAATTCAAAAAATCAGGAAATACTGGTTGCGCAACAGATAAATTCCTGTTGTGAAGCCCTGTCTAAACTATACATTTTTCAGAAGACGTCTGAAAGAGCTGACATCTGTTGCACAGTCCACCACAATATGAGACCTCCTCCTGAATCCTCTGCATGCTAGGGAACTTGGGGGCTGCCCTTTTAAGGGGTGGGGCAGGCAGAAACAGAGACATCCCTGCTGCTCCTGCCTCCTCCAAGCCCAGTGCAATATGGGAGACCTCTCACTTCCCCAAGTCCTCTGTGTGTGCCAGAGGAGGTGTGTGCATATGTGCGAGGCGGTTGGTTGGTGATGCCCATAAAAAATGATTGCTCCTCTGTGGTCATGGGGAAACTCAGCAGCATGCAATCTGGGAGATTACCCTTGAATTCTGATTTGGAGGTAGAGTTCTTGATGACATTTCATTGTCATCAGATTATGTTATCAGAATGGGAGTAGGCTCACCCACTCGGGTATATTTCCTTTGTAAGCATGGATCTTGAACCCTTGCTGGGAAAAAGCAGCTTGTGCAATGAGGCTAAAGTTGGATGAGGAAAGTGCTGGGAGAGGGAAGGGAGTGCCCTCCTCCTGCTTCCTGCCTCTTGCTCGAAATTGTACCTTCCTGATACTTCTTTGCAAAGGTGAAGCAACAGCCAGCATTTAAAGGCACATGGTGGAATCAGCATATGTAGTTTTGCCCGGATGGACCATTGGAACATTCTCTTGGAAATGATGCATTTAGAATATATAATGGGAATCTTTGCTTCCATTTCAATTTAGGATAAGGCCTTAAAGCCCACAAAAAGGCATAACGGTGGGAAAATATGAATAACAGAGGATGATGGCACACTGAATAGGGAAAAGGGGGAACTGGCCTCAAGATGAAAAAGTGGACTTGAAAACAACATGTTTATATCGCCAAGGTTTCTTGGTTTTCCCAGTGGACATGGCTATTTTTCATAGTAAAACAACCAAGTCATAATTTTATTAGATTTCCTTCAGGCTAAGTGTAAACAAGTCAAATCCAGTGGGGAAATTAATTGAAATGTATTTTGCAACAACATTCTAGTCTAAAATGATTTATTCTACTACAACGTTTGTTCAATAAAGGAAAAGTAAGTGAAGATTTAAAGAATAAGGTTAAGAAAGCAAACATTTGAAAGCAAAGAAATCCAAAATTAAACAGTTCCTTCCCTCGGGGGCTAGCACATGTCCTTTCCTTTGCATTGTGAAAGAGGTGTTAAAACAAACAGCAACTTAAACCAAAATAATTGGACACTTTAAATGAAGTTCACAAATATCAAATAAAATAACCGTTATTATGTTGTTTCATTTATTCACATTTCTCACAAACTATTAATTTATGGATTGTGAATACAGTGGTACCTCGGGTTAAGTACTTAATTTGTTCCGGAGGTCCGTTCTTAACCTGAAACTGTTCTTAACCTGAAGACCACTTTAGCCAATGGGGCCTCCTGCTGCTGCCACGCCGCTGGAGCACGATTTCTGTTCTCATCCTGAAGCAAAGTTCTTAACACGAGGTACTATTTCTGGGTTAGCGGAGTCTGTAACCTGAAGCATATGTAACCCGAGGTACCACTGTATATTAGGTATGCCTTCCTTATTTTGCACTTTCCTCTGCTTATTCCTTTTGTGCTTACCTCATTTACTGGTGCAGATTTAATGCTATTGTGCTGGCCACTTGGGTGTGGTGGGGCGGTGGCAGGAATGGTTCAGTTTTCAGTTCTTTTGCTTTTTGGCAGCTATCTTTGCAATTATGATTTTTGGCATTGCAATTATTTGTGTACTTGGTATGCCAGATAGCTAACAAGAGTATCCTGCAGTTAAATATATCTGATATTTGCTCCTAAATAGAAAGCAACTGTGCTAGTACTTGCCTTTATTTCGAGACATTCCTTAACTCTCTGAAACCTCCCACCACCATCCCCTTCCCTCCAGCAGTTTCTGCCACTACAAATCTCATTTCCTTCTCACTGTGTAGGAGCACATTTTCCTCAGGAGGACATAGCCCTATGCCTACATTCATTTGCAGCCCCTCAGCACTATTCTTCACCGCTATCCCTTCAGCCAACAAAACCTGGTTCCTCAACTGTCCTTCCTCTATGAAAACAGAATATTTGGAAGGAGGGAAAAGGAAAAAAACTGACATTCAAATGAAGATTGCCACTAAGCATTGGGAAATTTTCTTATTTTTATCTGCCTATTTAACAATTATTATATGGCTTGTAAAAAGCGTCAGAATAAGTGGTTTACAAAAACCCAATATTAAAAGTATCAGTGAATGACAGTTGAAAACAGGGATTTAAAAATATTGAATTCTTGGTGTGAGTGGGCAAGAGAGGGAAAAGGGGCCTGAAACCTGAGGACAGGTCTGGCTCAGCACGTCTTCACCTGAGGAAATATAGGTGATACGTTACCATGGGAACTAATTCTTAGACTAATTCTTAGTTGGAGACAGTTTGGGAAAGCTCCCTGGGGAAAGTGAGCTCAGAAAGCCATTTCCCCACAGATGGGGACTGGATTCAAGAAGTACCATTTCCTTAAGGAGCTGGGTAAGGAAATCAGCCTTTTCTCAGTCATGCTTCATGAAGGAAGTGTAGGGAAGCTCTGTAGTTCCTCCAACAAGCTTCCTGCCTGGACTAGGATTGCTCAGGGTATGACTTTCCCTTATCCCAGCTTCCACTATTGTAGCCCGGAAGACCAATCTGACCCTCTCTGGGTCGTCCCCCCCACACTTTTCAGTGAGTACCACCATGATGATCTTCTTTAGGCCTTCTTATGACTGCTTCAGCTGGATGGCTTTAATCTTCTATCCAGTTCTTTGTGCTTTGTGTGTGGCTTATGGACAAGCCCAATAGAATTTGCGTTCTCCCTTTTCTCCTTTCGCCATCTTGTCTTGCTAATGAACTATCAATTTCTTCTTCCTTTCAAGCCTGGAAGAAGCAACAGTATTTTATTTATTAGTTTCTTTGAAAAAAGAAAATCAGTATACATTATTTGGCAAACTGAGTAACAAATAATAACAAAAACAGGCCAATTGGATCTCTTTCCAGTTTCTGAAATCAATGTACAATTTTAGCTTCCCTGTTTTGGGTGGCTTCACCGATTGCACATCTTTTTACTGATGTTTTCTCCAAGCCTTCCCTTTGCACACTTTACAGAGTTTGATTCACGTTTTCAGGCAGTTACTGATAGTTGCCAGCTTGGAAAAGATCCGATATTAATTCCCCAATGTTATTCTGATCCTTCTAAATTGGCCAGAGCAGGTGACTTTTGGGTGACCTCTGGAAGGATAAAGCACTGAGTAAAGAGAAAATTGGAAGAAAAATATTGATGTTTTTGATTTTATAAAATCTTAATGGGTGGATGTGAGATTTAAACAAAGATTCAAATTGGTTGGATTAGAAATTTTAGGTGAAGGTTCATGTTGACAGTTATGTCATCCAAGCCAGTTTACTTCATTTCTAATCAATGTGTGTACCCTTTGCTCTGCATTACACATTTCCCAATGAATGTTTGTTGATACTGCGATGGAGACATTTTCATTACTCAGAGACCTGTGGCCTGTGAGAGGTGGGAACTGCTGTGAAATACAGAACTCTTTGGTTCTTCTCCGCTCAAGAAATCACAGGCCTTTTAGTCAGGTGGGTTTAATCTCCCAGGAAAGTTTCATGAGAATATGTTTGAAATATTGACTATCCTAGGGAAGGATAGTCATCTTTTAACCCAGATCTTGGAGACCCCTAGCAAAGTTTATTGCTGGTTCTAAGTCTCGGGGGACTGCTCCACCACAATTTATCTCATTTTACACCTGTCTAACTCATTTCTCATTTCCACTCTTCCTGCTTTCTCTGGCATAGGGTATCTGGTTCATGTAAACGTTCTGAGCCATTGTCTGAAAGTAGTAATGTACTGGATGGATGTTAATAAATTGAAATTTAACCCAGAGAAGACAATGGGGGCTGCTAGACTATTACTATTTTACAGTAGGATTCAATCACATACCGGCCCTTTCTTGGTGCAATGCTGCCTAACCTCAGAAACAAACTAGGATGAATGCTCAATAAACAGGTTGTCTGAAAGTGCGCAAATGTCAGGACTGCTGATATGGAAAGAGGAAATCAACCCATCTTGGATGGGGTAACACTTCCTTGAAGACTCAGGTTTGCACTTGTGAAGTATTCCTGGATCCTGCCTCCTCGTTCCTTGATGCTCAGGTGGTGGCTAGGAGTGACTTTGCCCAGCTTAGGCTGGTACGTCAGTGTGTCTATTCCTGGAGTGGTCCAGTCTGGTTGGGGCTACACACGTCTTAGTTACATCAAGACTGGATGACTGCAATGTGCTCTATGTGCAGCTACTTCTGAGGTGTGTTTGGAAACTTCAGCAGTCCCATACTGTGGCAGTCAGAAAGCTGATATGAACTAGACCTTGGAAGCTTGCAAGTCTCATTAAAAGAGCCACAATGACTTCTGGTTCATTTCTGGGCATAGTTCAAAGTGCTGATCATTAACTTTTAAAGATTATAAATGATTTTGGATCAGAGCATCTAAAGGACTGTCTGCTCCAGGTTCTGAGACCCTGAGCTTATCCCCTGAAGTCCCCAGTGTAACTATATTATTGCCATCTGGAGGGCTACTCTTGTGCACAGCAGAAGTGGGACAACACTCCCCACCCCCTGGGACATTAGTGGTATGAAAAGTTACAGAGTTTTCCTGCAGGACATGCACCTACTACAAACGAAGTATTATGACCAACCAAAAACTTTTGCAGGTGCCAACGGTGTTGGAATTGTGATTGCATATAACCGCCCTGATTACGTGAGCACAGACCATGATGAATGCTTGATAAAAAGTACGTCCGCAGGGGCCCTCAAATGCAAGAGTCTGATAACTGTTTATTTCTTCTGCTTTTCCCCAAGTTAATTGGCCATAGTAGAGAGTAACAAGCTTGGGAAAGTTTTCTTAAAAGAGGACAGGTTAGATAAACAACCTCTGGGCGGATCTATCAGCATGATGCTGAAGCTTACGTAGGTGGAGAGATGCACAGCCGTCATAGTTTATTGTTATTATGAGCTTGGTCTGTGTTCGTGCATGGCTTGTGAAATGGGGGCAAGAATATATGTCTGAGACTTAGACTCTTGTTGGCCACTCGGTTTTTTGTGTTCATGTCACAGATTCTAAACAAAAGCTAGAAGTGAAGTGGTTGTAAGGAAATGCTCAGAGAGTTTGAAAGTGGTGTTTTAGCAGCGGCCTTTTCTCTTGAGTGTCCTTCTAGCATCTGTATCATTAACAACAGAGATGAAATGGTTTTAGGAAAGGAAAGCTCTTTCAGAAAGCATTTTTTTCTGCAGGCATTCCTAGCACCAAAAAGCATTGGCAAGAGTAGGCCTAGGGAAGAAGCTGCAGAAAATATGTATTCCATGGCAAAGGAGCTGTAGGAACAAATGCCAAAAGGTCTAACTTAACTTCACTTTCTCTCAGCCTTAGTTCCCCATTCGTAAAATGGCACGATAAGCTACCATATGGATTGATGAAATACAGTTTGTAAAGTCCTACTTAACCTTCTCAATATTTTTTGCTGTTGATAGTTTGTAAGGATCTGCTTCTGTAGACTTGAACCATCAATTTATGTAATCTTTGCAACAAAGGGTGAAAGAGGAGAGCGCAAAATATGGTCTGAAGCTCAACATAAAAAAAAAACGAAGATCATGGCCACTGGGCCCATCACCTCCTGGCAAATAGAAGGGGAAGAAATGGAGGCAGTGAGAGATTTTACTTTCTTGGGCTCCATGAACACTGCAGTAGTCACGAAATTAAAATACGCCTGCTCCTTGGAAGAAAGGCGATGGCAAACCTAGACAGCATCTTAAAAAGCAGAGACATCACCTTGCCAACAAAGGTCCGTATAGTTAAAGCCATGGTTTTCCCAGTAGTGATGTATGGAAGTGAGAGCTGGACCATCAAGAAGGCTGGTCGCCGAAGAATTGATGCTTTTGAATTATGGTGCTGGAGGAGACTCTTGAGAGTCCCATGGACTGCAAGAAGATCAAACGTATCCATTCTTAAGGAAATCAGCCCTGAGTGCTCACTGGAAGGACAGATCGTGAAGCTGAGGCTCCAGTACTTTGGCCACCTCATGAGAAGAGAAGACTCCCTGGAAAAGACCCTGATGTTGGGAAAGATGGAGGGCACAAGGAGAAGGGGACGACAGAGAACAAGATGGTTGGACAGTGTTCTCGAAGCTACAAACATGAGTCTGACCAAACTGTGGGAGGCAGTGGAAGACAGGAGTGCCTGGCATGCTCTGGTCCATGGGGTCACGAAGAGTCGGACATGACTGAACGACTAAACAACAACAACAACAAGGATCTGTTTCTGTAGACTTGGACCATCAGTTTATGTAATCTTTGCAACAACTCTGCGAGATAAAATATTATCACCTCTGTACAGCAGATAAGGGGCTGAATAATGGCCTAACTTTACCCATGGACCAATGCAGTGGTTCTCAAAGTTTTTATAGTGCTGGAATCCTTTACAAAATTTTGGCAGAACCTTTACAGTAAAATTTAATTTTTATTTTTTTAAAAAAGCAAAGCAAAACAGAATGGGGTTGATTATTGGGAGATCAAGGAAGGGAGAGCCAGACAGAGTGGCAACTTTTAAAATTAGTGACTTTGAGACTTAAAAAAACTTGGCTGTTGGTCTCCTCATCTCTGATAGGAGAAGCCTATGCTTTGCTCCAGCTCATTGGAAAGTGCAAAGATTCCTATGATGTGGGATGGCACAGGCAGCCTGGCATTTATATTCTATACAATTAAATATCCTGTTGGACTGTTTAAAATCTATTATTTGTCTCTAGTGTTACTTGAAATGGTTTCCATGAAAGGAAGTTAATACCCTCCTCTGTAGACTCTGAACTATTTAGCACATATATACAAAAAAAACCTAATATATACTCTCCTGGATTCTTTTCAAGGAACGGTAGAGCCTTGTGAAATCTCTTAGACTGCAATCCTGTGCACACTTACCTAGTAATAAGCCCCATTTAACTTAATCGTACTTACTGAATATACATGCAGTGGATTGTGCTGTTCATCATGTTTTAAAACACAAGTTCCTGTTTCAGTTGAATACTTTCTTCCTAATCTGCTCCTTGCATTTGAGAACTTTGTATGGATTTCCCCTCATCAAACTTCCTTTGAGACTAGCAGCTTTGACATGTGAGTGTATTTGAGAACATGCTGGCTCAGCAGAACCTGTGAGGTCCTCATTTGTCTTGTGAGAAAAAGGACACAGAATTCTCCTCCAGAATTTGGGACAAGGCTACCTGCTTTGAGCACCACGTCCTATTTTCAAATTTTATGCCAATGCATTCTTGGCTTTTATGTTTCAGGAGACATCTTTTGTTTCTTCCACTAATTTGAGGGGAAATAATTTCTGTAATCTTGTAGGGGATTTTTTTTTTGGGGGGGGGGAAATGAAGCACAGTGCTAGTAACATAACTACCAGGGGCACCAAATCACTGCTCCTTTTTAGCTACGATCAAGGTCCACAAAAAGCTGTGAAAATGAATAATGTAATGCATTTTGTGTGTTATTTTCGATAGTATATGCATTTTGTGCAAACTTTGCCCTGGTATAGGCATATCTGTGGTTTGCCAGGGATAGTACAGCATTATCATTCATGAAGCCCAACGCATAATTAGAAGATTTTTAATGGTTTTGGCTTCAGTCCCCAGCAGAGCTCAACATCACTTAATGATGGTTCCTGCACTATTTTTGTTATGTAGTAACATTAAAACTACTTTGAGCAGATGTAAAGGCGTGAGCTGCAGTGACCAGGAACAGGTCCAAACCATGCAGGAGAATGAAGCTATGATTACTCAGAGCAAGAAGACTCATTTGCTCAGAACTAATGGCCAAGATGAAGTCTGACAGGTCCACACAAGTGGGCTACTCTCCCAGCAGGGAATTTACAAGGTCTTGCCTTATGTAGCCACTTCCACTTACTAATGGAAATGAAAACCAGATATGCCCTTCCCAGCAGCTGCCTCGCCACCACCAGAGCTTTGCATAACTCTTGCTCCACCGTCCTTCTCTAGGGGAGCTCTATAAAATAAACAGATTCATTACATGCGGATTTCCTCTTCCTCTCCTCTGGTTAAACAAAAAGCCTATTAGAAACAGAAACACACACATGCACAATGTAATTATGCATATATATATATACATACATACACACAGCACAAAAGGGGTATGCATACACACAAAAACATGCACAGCACAAAAATATTCACTTCTCTCTCTCTCTCTCTCTCTCTCTCTCTCTCCATAGTTTTGCAAATATGTAGCTTTATAGTTCCATGCACACTTTAGCAAATGCAAACCGTGTAGTAGAAGGTTCAGTTTGCATCTTTATTTTGTTTGTGATGTTTCTACTTAGGTGGGGTTGCCATATTTCAAAAAGTAAAATTCCTGACACACGCAAAGTTCTTGAGCTTTTTTGGGGGGACGGAACCTCCCCCCAAAACAGTGATTTTAAGCTTTTGGAGCTGTTTCCGCTGCTCTTCCCATCACATTGCCATACAGATAAAATTTTGCAGATAAAATCGCTCAGATTCGGGAAGAAGTAGACTCCACCGTGGGAGCAGGGCCGGGGTGGGAGAGTGCTAGAGACCTGTCTAGTCAAGTTGCGTGGGATCAATTCCAACCTGTTACCTCCGAGGATGTGTACAGGCTGCTTGGATGAGTGAAGCCAACCACCTGTCTCCTGGATCCTTGCCCATCCTGGCTTATAAAAGCTAGCCGGGGTTTCAGAATGAGACAGGTTTAACAGTGGTTAAGAAAGTTAAATACCTGGGGATTAACATGACAGCAAAAAATGGGAATTTATTTAAAGATAATTATGAAAAATGTTGGTCGGAAGTGAAAAAAGACTTAGAAATTTGGTCAAATTTGAAGCTTTCACAGCTAGGCCGTATTGCTGCGATAAAAATGAATGTATTGCCTAGAATGTTGTTTTTGTTTCAAACTTTGCAGATTGTCGACAAAATGGATTGTTTCAAGAGGTGGCAGAAAGATATTTCTAAATTTGTCTGGCAGGGCAAGAAGCCCAGAATAAAATTTAAAATTTTAACGGATGCAAAGGAAAGAGGCGGATTTGCCCTGCCAGACCTTAAACTTTACTATGAATCAGCAGCTTTTTGCTGGTTGAAAGAATGGCTACTTCTTGAAAACACTGACATTTTGGACTTGGAAGGTTTTAACAATGTATTTGGATGGCATGAATATTTATGGTATGATAAGGTCAAAGCACATAAAGCATTTAGAAACCACATTGTCAGGAAAGCGCTATTTAATGTTTGGCTAAGATATAAGGATTTGCTAGAAAATAAAACCCCAAGGTGGCTGTCACCAATGGAAGCGAAAGCCTTGAAAAAGGTCAATATGGAGGTCAAATGGCCGAAATATTGGGAAATTTTGGAACAAGATGGAGATAGACTGAAATTGCAGAGTTTTGAAAAATTAAAAAACAAGGTGCGAGACTGGCTTCATTATTATCAGATAATGGAGGCATTTAAATTGGACAAGAAAATTGGCTTCCAGGTCGAAAGATCCAAATTAGAAACAGAACTGTTAGAACCCAAAACTAAGAATTTGTCAAGAATGTATACCTTGCTGCTGAAATGGAATACTCAGGACGAAACGGTAAAATCGGCTATGATTAAATGGGCACAGGACATTGGACATAACATTATGTTTGCTGACTGGGAACAGTTGTGGACCACAGGTATGAAATTTACAGCATGTAATGCCTTAAGAGAGAATATTATGAAAATGATATACAGGTGGTACATAACCCCAGTCAAGCTTGCAAAAATTTATCACTTGCCCGATAACAAATGTTGGAAATGTAAAGAAACTGAAGGTACATTCTTCACCTTTGGTGGACGTGCCCAAGGATTAAGGCTTTCTGGGAAATGATATATAATGAATTAAAAAGGTATTTAAGTATACCTTCCTAAGAAACCAGAGGCCTTTCTCCTGGGCATAGTCGGCCAAATGGTGTTAAAAAAGGATAGAACTTTCTTTATGTATGCAACAACAGCAGCAAGAATACTCATCGCAAAGTATTGGAAGACACAAGAACTTCCCACGCTGGAGGAATGGCAGATGAAACTTATGGACTATATGGAACTGGCGGAAATGACTGGTAGAATCCGTGACCAGGGAGAAGAGTCGGTGGAGGAAGATTGGAAGAAATTCAAAGACTATCTTCAGAAACATTGCAAAATTAAAGAATGTTAGAGTGATGTTGGACTGAAAATAAGCGGTTTCCAGCTGTACAGGTTAAAGTTAAATGATAGACCAAGATTAAAGATTAGGATTAAAGATGTTTAAAGAAATGGAAATTTGACAATTAAGAGGGAAAATTTTAATGTTATATTATACTAAGATTAAAGATCAGGTTTAAAGAAGTTGAAGCTATATATTTTAATATTATATTAAAGTTAAAGATTGGGATTAAAAAGTGGAAAAGACATTGCTGGACAAACAATTTGGATTGGAATACAAAAGAGGGAGGTATGAGGAAGTCCAGAAAATAAGTAAACTAAAAAAAGGAAATGGAAAAGAGATATTGTTTTTTTTAATTGTTACGTTTTTTGTTTATTATTGTTGAATCTTGCTTTTTTTTGTGTGTTTTTGTTATCTTTTTTTTTTAGATGTCTTTCTTTTCTTTCTTTGTTGTTTAAAACTTTAATAAAAATTATTTAAAAAAAACAAAAAAACATATAAAAGCTAGCCGGGAAGGACTGGGCGATGGGCTTCGTGGGGTGGTGAATGCTTCCCTCCGCGAGGGAGCCTTCCCAGACCCGCTGAAAGAGGCGGTTATTAAACCGCTTCTTAAAAAACCATCTTTAGATGCGGCCACGATGGCCAACTATCGCCCAGTCTCAAATCTTCCATTCTTGGGCAAGGTGATTGAGCGAGTGGTTGCTGAACAACTCCAGGCACGCCTGGAGGAAGCGGACCATTTGGATCCCTTCCAGTCGGGATTCAGGCCTCATCATGGGACTGAAACTGCCTTGGTCGCACTGGTTGATGATCTCCGGCGGGCTAGGGACAAAGGTGAGAGCTGTTTCCTAGTTCTGCTGGATCTCTCAGCGGCGTTTGATACCATCGACCATAACATCCTTCTGGACCGTCTTGAGGGGCTGGGAGCTGGGGGCACTGTTATACAGTGGTTCCGCTCCTTCCTCCTGGGCCGTGTTCAGAAAGTGGTGGGGGGGGATGAGTGTTCAGACCCCTGGGCCCTCACTTGTGGGGTGCCTCAGGGTTCTGTCCTCTCCCCCATGCTTTTCAACATCTACATGAAGCCGCTGGGAGAGATCATCAGGGGATTTGGGCTGGGTGTTCATCAGTATGCAGATGATACCCAGCTCTACCTCTCTTTCAAATCAGAACCAGTGAAGGCAGTGAAGGTCCTGTGTGAGTGCCTGGAGGCGGTTGGAGGATGGATGGCGGTTAACAGATTGAGGTTGAATCCTGACAAGACAGAAGTACTGTTTTTGGGGGACAGGAGGCGGGCAGGTGTGGAGGATTCCCTGGTCCTGAATGGGGTTACTGTGCCCCTGAGGGACCAGGTGCGCAGCCTGGGAGTCATTTTGGACTCACAGCTGTCCATGGAGGCACAGGTCAAATCTGTGTCCAGGGCAGCTGTTTACCAGCTCCATCTGGTACGTAGGCTGAGACCCTATCTGCCTGCGGACTGTCTCGCCAGAGTGGTGCATGCTCTGGTTATCTCCCGCTTGGACTACTGCAATGCGCTCTACGTGGGGCTACCTTTGAAGGTGACTCGGAAACTACAACTAATCCAGAATGTGGCAGCTAGACTGGTGACTGGGGGCGGCCGCCGAGACCATATAACACCGGTCTTGAAAGACCTACATTGGCTCCCAGTACATTTCCAAGCACAATTCAAAGTGTTGGTGCTGACCTTTAAAGCCCTAAACGGCCTCGGTCCAGTATACCTGAAGGAGCGTCTCCACCCCTATCGTTCTGCCCGGGCGCTGAGGTCCAGCGCCGAGGGCCTTCTGGCGGTTCCCTCATTGCGAGAAGCAAAGCTACAGGGAACCAGGCAGAGGGCCTTCTCGGTAGTGGCGCCCGCCCTGTGGAACGCCCTCCCACGAGATGTCAAAGCGATAAACAACTACCTGACATTCAGAAGACATCTTAAGGCAGCCCTGTTCAGGGAAGTTTTTAACGTGTGATATTTTAGTGTATTTTTGGTTTCTATGGAAGCCGCCCAGAGTGGCTGGGGAAGCCCAGCCAGATGGGCGGGGTATAAATAATAAATTATTATTATTATTATTATTATTACATGGTTTTCCCTGACATTTTGCTGATTCGGCAAAATTCCCCCCGACGCCATTTTTACACCCCGAAACCCGGATATGTCAGGAATTTTCCTGACGTATGTCAAGCCTAACTTAAGGCCAAGCTGGATCTCTGTTTCTCCATAACAGCTTAATCAGGAGAGGACCAGTGTCTCTGTGGGTGAGGAGTCTGTGTGTTTGAGACATTGGAGAATCAATATTATTATTATTATTATTATTATTATTATTATTATTACTACCCCGTCCATCTGGCTGGGTTTTCCCAGCCACTCTGGGCAGCTTACAGGACATATAAAAACATAGTAAAACATCTAACATTAATTTTTTTGGGGGGATGAATTTAAATCTTTGGATGGGGTTTTGCTTCCGTTGAAGGAGAAAGTATACAGTCTGATCCTGGATACACCTGAGGCTCAGGTGGCCTTGGTGCTTTTCCTCAGCTTCAGCTGGTATGACAAATGTGGCCATTCTTGTACTAGGATAGTTTGATCCTCGTAGTCCAGGCATTGGTAACTTTAACTTCAACTTCAGCTTCAGCTTCAACTTCAACTTCAACTGGATTACTGCAACCAGAGGCGGAGCTAGCTGCTCCGGCACCTGGGGAGCAGGGCGAGCATCCCAGGGGGGCTGTGTGGAGATGTGACACCCCCCCACCCGGGATGACACCTTCCTCCACCAGTGACTGAAACGCACTTTAGGTGGGGCTTCCCTCAGGCTTGGTCTGGAAACTGCAGTTAGTGCAGAATTCCACTGCACAAATGCTGACACCATGAAAGATCCTACTGGCATGTAAGAATCTAAGAAGAGTCTGGGGGGAAAACAACCATATCACTTTAGCTAGACATAGGGTGCTACCAAATGGTGGCTAAGTATTGTAAATAGGTTTGATTTTTCAAACTTAAACAGAATTATACGATAACAATATTTCTGTTTAAGTTTGAAAAATCAATACAGAATGTTTAAAAAAACTAAAAGCAAAAGAATTTGAAAACGGTCCATTCAGATATTGCCAATGGGTAATTGGCAACAAGATTGTTTACGTTCTTGGATTTCCCCTGAGAAACGTAAATCTGGATTAAATGTGGGGCGGGGATACAGGCTAGAATTCAGATGCTGGTGATGTTGTTTGGATGCTGCAGAAATATTGCATTCACTTTAAAAATGAGAACTGAACAAAATCCTCAGGAATCCCTATTTCACATTGATGGAGACCAATCAAGGTTTGAAAAAAGAAGCAGCTGATGGCAGCGTGGCCACGTTCCTAGAAAAACAGAAGCCGTGTGGAAACATTTCTTACCTTTGTTTGAGGCTCCATCTCCCTTCTCACCACAAATTGCTTCCAGGGACTGAGACAGCAACTAAGACCACAGAGTTCAGCCAGTGCTTCAAACAAATTCTGGTTAACCAGGAATCTCTATCAGCTCCCACCAGCCTTGTGCCTACATGCTTGCCTCATGGCTGAGGGAATTATTTGGTTGCATCTGACCTCCTGGAAGGGTGTGAGGTTTGAGGACCTTCCCAGAAAAAGCTCCGAGATTATTCTGTTTCCATGGCCACAAATATCTACATTTCTCTTCTCTGCAATTGTTTCCCCCAAGTTTTTGTGTGCTGTTTTGCTGCCATTGCCTATCCACACCCAACAAACACTGATGTCAAGTAGAAGGGGAAAAAAACTATCCTGAGGGAATGATTTTTTATTTTTATTTTTTTGCTGTTTGGCATTTTGATCTTGAATAAGCAATGATATTGGTATTCTAGCAGGCTGATTTATCGCCTAGCAGGAAATATGGTGTTTGAAATCACCTCCTTTTACTGATTCAATAGAATTCAACAAGTGAGAAGTCACCAGACAGTGCGTCCTGTGAGTAGGGGAACCATCGTCTGACAGCACCAGGATAGTGGTAGGTGGGATTTCAGCCTTCCTGCTTCTTGCGGCACCCTTGCCAAATCCTATGGGAGGATGGAAACTCTCACGGGATTTTGCAAGGAATTGAGCAGCTGTGGGCTTAAAAGTCTCAGCTGCACAGAAACCTGCGCTATTTTGCCCCATGTGCTCCCACGAGCTGTGAGGCCTCCTGCTGGAGAAGTCATAAGAAACATGCATTTTACCTCAGAGGGTTCTGGAACTGGAATGTTGGGATCTCATTAATGACAGGCTTTGGCTTGAATTGTTCAACCCAGGGAGGTTGGATAAAAGCATGGTTGCCCCAAATGGAAGGGCCCTACTTCATAACCCTCCCAAGATGGTTCACTGGGAGTACAACCAGGGCAAGTGTCATAGGGTTAGCTGCTAGTATGGTCATGACTGTGACTCACACGGGGGACCACACCCTAGTCAAATCATAACTATGGGCAGTCTCAACTCCCAGGTAACAAAAAAGACAGCCCCTCTTCTGCCTTTGCCACCAAGAAACGACACAGTTCAGGATGGTGTGAGCTCCCTGGGCTTGGCCCACATCCCAAGGACCCATTGATCTCTCCTTGATGCTCACATCCACTGTCAAACAGCAGTTTGTCTCTGGGAAGGCTTCACCCATGATTTCCAGATTCTAGCCATGAGTCAGCATTGCACCATTGATGCTCCCAATCCAATATCAGTAAGGGGTATGCTTCATATCACAGACAAAATGATAGCAAAGGAAGTCACAGTGGGCAGAATCACTGGCCCCTTCTCTCTCTTCCCCCCCAGTTCTGGACTTGAGGATTCCTACCTCCATCATCCCAGACAGTATCCAAAAAGGCACCAGGTGAGTTCTGACTGATTCACAACCCAAAGGGTTCTTCAATTAAGGATCTTGTACCACTTGAGCACTGCTCCATCAGATGTACCTCTTTCAGCAAGGTGGTGGAACTCATGCAGAGCTGTGGCCTAGACCTTTTTGGCAAAATCCGATACCCATGTGTGTTTTGGGTGCTTCCCAATCATCAGACTTAATTCCATTCCAATAACAAAGGCTGCCTGGAATGCTGACCCAACCTTTACACTTCTGCCATGCCATTTCCCTCATGTATAACCAAATAAAATTGTGGCCTGCTTTACCCAAAACCATTATCTAAAGTATATTACTTCTTCCGCACACATGAAGCACAAATTTGCAACTGCTGCACAAATCGATAGTGGCAAAAATGTTACATTCCGTTCTTATCATTTTTAATATAGTTCCCATCATTGTAAACCATCCATTGTAACCATTGTAAATGCCATCCATGGCATAATGGAATACTTGTGACTTTGCTACCACTTCCAGCCACCATGATTTAATTTTCCGCTTTAAAATGAGAACATTAGCTAAGAGATAGGCCACCTAGTCCAGCATCCTGTTTCTAAGAGTGACCAGCCAGCTATTTCAGTGAAGCTAACAAGCGGGGGGTGGCCTCCACTGTTTTCCCTTCAACTAGCAAAGGGATGGGAAACTGGTGGTTCTCCAGAGGTTGTTGAGCTGCAACTCTCATCATCCCTGCCCACTGATCATGGTCATCAGCATCTGTAGGGCCACAGATTCCCCATCCCTGCCCTACCGGCTAGTATTCAGAAGCATAATCCCTCCTACTCGGTCTGCAGTTTCCTCCTGGATTCCTTTTTATAATTGAGTTTATGTTGCTCCAATGCTCTGGGTACCAATTAAGGTGGAGAAAGAGGGAGAGAGAAAACACCAGGACCTGCATTGTGGAGTGTCTCCCCTCCCTCTAAATAAATGAGAGATGTGGGGCAAGCACAACATCCTCAAGGGCCCATAAAAAAGAAGCCCATAAACCAGGAGTGAAGGAACAAGATGAAGCAATCCAGTTAAGCAGGGAGGAAACCACCAATTAGGAGTAGCCCCAAAGGAATTTTTTTTTGTGGCCTGAGGGCAATTTGCCAGAGGTACATTTTGAGTTGGATCTGGGTTGGCTGAGAAGGGCAGATGTGGTGAAAACTGCTCCCCAAAGACAGCTTGCCCTTCTAACCTCCTCCCTTGTGTCTCTGAAAGTCGAAAGAGCTTGGGCTGCCCTGGAGTTTAATAGCAGTGAGGCAAGTATACCAAGACCTGGAGGGAAAAATGATACATTCTTCTTTCAATTTAAATTATAAGCAGGACAATTTGATCCAGTAGCTAACAGTAAGGTGGGCTTGCTGTACAGTAATACATATATAATCATGGCCAATAGGTTATTTTATGAGCGGGATAAATGCTGAGAGGAATACAGAATATTAATGCTAGAGTAGTGCCATTAAATTCCTGGTTATTTACTGAGGGAGATCCAAAACCTCTCAGGGCACACCAGCAACTTACATTTACAGCACTCTTATACCACTTTAACTGTCATGGCTTCCCCTCAAAGTATACTGGGAACTGTAGTTTGTTAAGGGTTCTGAGGGTCGTTAGAAGATCTCTATTCTGCTCACAGAACTACAATTTTAAGAGTTCCCTGCGAACAGGGATTGATTATTGAATCACTCTGAGAATTGTAGCTCTGGGAGAGGGAATAATTCCCTGGCCTCAGACCCTCTTTGTATGCTCTAGTAAATGAGACTCCAAAATTCCATTACTTCTAACATACACCATCTAGCTAATACCAACACCTAGTCTTGATTCTTCCTTTCCCTATCTATGGTTTTTGCACCATTTTATTTGTTTAAAAGGGGATTACTCATGCTGTGTCCAGCCTTTCCACCTGTGTTAGATATACACAGTCACTTGGAATAAAACATCATCATATTGGTTGTTCTTTGAAGTATCCATAATATTCCTAGATCATAGTGCCCACAAAAGGCCACAAAACATCAGCAGAGCCCTGGCTACTGCCAAGCAGAAAAGTCTCTACTTCCTGTATTTGGGAAGCAGTGCTGTCTGAGCAGTCAGTGTAAAATGGATAAAATTATTAATAGATTGAGGACTGCTTTATTGCATAGCAAATGTCCTACACCATCACTTTTCCAAAGTCATTTGAGAGGAATGCACATTATGGAAACTTGCCGCCATGGGCTTAACAAATGTGGCAAAATGGGCGTGATTTGCACATGACTTAACAGGAACACAAGCAACAGAAAGATTTAGGCCTGATTTGTGATCTTTTATTAACTATCTCTTTGCGTTGACTGTGCTATGTCTGATGTCAGAGTTGTACTGTCCTCCTTCTCCATCTCTTGCAGAAGACAGGACAATCCAACCAGAATCGCTAAGGCTGAAATGCAAGGATGTGGCTTGTGGGCTGACTATGATTCTGTCTAACAAAGACCAAACCACTGTGGTGTGGTTCTTATTCTCTTCATTCATTCTAGCTGCTCAGACTCTCTTGGGGGGGTTCAGACTGTCCACAGGGCAACTTTGTGGGGAGACACATCTAGCTGGAAGTCATTGACCAGTTCAGTCAATCCCCAGCCTTTTGTTTGGGAATATCACTACGTCAAAGGCCGCTGTGGACATGCTGCCTGGAAATAAGGAAAGATTGTTGTAGAAACATGCAGCTAAAGGCAGCTGAATGGATTTCAATTCTGGGTCAGGATTGGGAAAGATGGATGTTTCTCAAACAAAAACATTTTGCTGCAGTCGAATAGCTCTGGGAGGGGAATAATTACTCTAGAAACACATTGTTTATGCTGCTATCCCCTGCATGTCTACTCAGAAGTAAGTAACACTGGGTTTTACTGAACTTGTGCTGTTGGGGAATAGGGAACACATGGCTCTCCAGATGCTGCAAGTATCCACCAATGTATTCACCACTTAACAGGGAATAAAATACATGCAGCATCTAGAGAGCCGCATGTTCCCTATTCCCCAACAGCACATGTAGCTCTGGGAGCAAGGTGGTAAGTTTACCTTATTGATACATGAAAACCCACTCTTTAGTGCTCAAGAAGAGCAAACGTCAGTCAGGGTTTTCAGAAGATTGCCATTTGTTCCAATTCAGCTTTAAAGAGCAGGTTTTCACAGGGAAAGCTCAAGAAGAAGAAGGAAAAAAGTGCTTAGACACAGAAGTTTAAAGTGTGGATCATGCCTGGAAAGAGCAGAGGAAAGCTAAAAGTGGATAAGTGTGCATAAACCTCAGGAAGACACCTTCCGTATGCAGTTTGACATGGGAATTTCTGTTGTATCTTAATTACATGTCAGATTGCTGACAGAAGAAATTTGCTGGTGTGAATTCAGTATGTGATTTCTGTTCCATTGATGGGGGATATATTTTTTTTAATGGAATTTCCGAACCAGATGAATGCAAGCCTGGAAATACCAAGATAGATCGGTGGAGCAGTTATTCAGATTATAGTAAGAGAATGATGCAGATTCCTTTCTACTTCCATAAAAACTGCAACATTATGGAAAAACTGAGAAATTTGCTTGGTCAATTAACATTTCAAAAGGAGGGGTGTGGGTGGTTTTCATGGGTATGAACCACTAAGACTTTTCTTCCTGAATCATTTTTGAACTTTGATTCCATGTTACGAGAAGTTAGTGATTCAACAGTTTGTACTTTCCCTTGCTGAATCCATCTAGAATGGCATAACAAGATAGGGGGCACTCAAGCATAAGAGGTACCATCTTCTGAATGGGATGAATTGCCATTACTTTTTTGTTTTTATTTGGTTGTAAAATTCCAAGTAGCGTTTAGACAGTGCTGTGTGGAACCTGGGCAACTTTTATTTTAATTGCTTCCCTTCTGTAGTTTTCAATTGCATGTGAGATTTACCTTTATTCTCAAAATTGGGCCTGTTTTCTTTCGCTTTATTCTCTTCGATCTTCACTGGTGTGTTGCTACAGCACCTACAGAAATCAGGATATAAATATTGAACGTGGTGTTTGAAGGCATATGCTGAGTAAGATAATGCTGGTTATAGCATAACAGAATTTGTTCATTGTGGAAGTGTAATGTTTTAAAAATATCCTCCATCTTAAAATTTCATCCAATATGCCAAAATTTCTCAGTTAAATAAGTTTCTCAGCCCCTTCAATATCACTATATAATATTGTAAATCAGGGGTCAGCAAACCTTTTCAGCAGGGGGCTGGTCCACTGTCCCTCAGACCTTGTGGGGGGCCGGATTATAATTTGAAAAATAATAATAATGAATGAATTCCTATGTCCCACAAATAACCCAGAGATGCATTTTAAATAAAAGCACACATTCTACTCATGTGAAAACAGCAGGCAGGCCCCACAAATAACCCAGAGATGCATTTTAAATAAAAGGACACATTCTACTCATGTAAAAACACACTGATTCCTGGACCATCCGTGGGCTGGATTTCGAAGGTGATTGGTCCGGATCCGGCCCGCGGGCCTTAGTTTGCCTACCCATGTTGTAAATGGTGGCCCCATATAATGCTGCTGTATTTGTTGTTTTCTTTAAGATCTGACAGTGGCATGCAGGCTTACCAGATTGTGGTTAAACCGCTATCTGATTATACATCAGCCACCAGATTGTGGTTAAACTGTCAGTTGATTATTACACCAGCCAAAATGCTTGGTTTCCCCCTCTGTGACTCCTCTATGAAGAAAGATTGCAGTGTTTGAAAACGTTTTAGTTTAGAGAAATGGTGAGTAAGAGGTGACATGATAGAAGTTTTATAAAATTATATATAGCAAAGAGAAAGAGAGTAGAGAAACCTTTTTCTTCCACGCTAGAAACTTGTGGATATCCAGTGCAATGGAATGCTGGAAGAGTCAGGAGAGATAAAATAAAGTACAGTGGTACCTCGGGTTAAGCACTTAATCCGTTCTGGAGGTCCGTTCTTAACCTGAAACTGTTCTTAAACTGAAGCACCACTTTAGCTAATGGGGCCTCCCGCTGCCGCCGCAGCACAATTTCTGTTCTCATCCTGAGGTAAAGTTCTTAACCCAAGGTACTATTACTGGGTTAGTGGAGTCTGTAACCTGAAGTGTATGTAACCCAAGGTACCACTGTACTTCTTCATGCGGTGCATAGTTAAACTATGGAACTCTCTCCCACTGGAGGTAGTGATGGCCACAAACTTGGATGGCTTTAAAGGAGGATTCAACCAATTCATGGAGGGAAGGGCTATCAGCAGCTACTTGCCATGATAGCTATGCTCTGTCT